TTAAAACCTTTTAGTTTAAAGTGAAAAACCCTGTGCTCACACCCTTCCTGTCTCTCAGGCCAGTTCTTGTGAAGACCGTTATCCTAATGTATTCTCAGTGAGAACTAAAAACCCAGGAATTGTCACCTGGTGTCAGGTTATTGATATATCCATCAGTTTGTAATGGTGATAAATCTGACCTTTTTGTCCTGATATCTTGGAGTGGAATATTGTAAATTGGCTAATTGTTAAATGAACAGACAAACTCGAGGCATCTAGTAGTAAGGTAACTTGTGTCCCTTACTTGAAGAGTTCACTGTATTTATTATTTTTTAAACCTCAACTTCTTACCATGCAACTTGATCTTTCTTGTATTGAAAGTACTTTCATCTCTCTGTTTTGAAGGTCATTATTTATTCTTACCACTTACAAATTACAAAACTGTTGGTTCTTTGCTGAAGTTTCTGTTCTCACCACTAATATTAATGTGAAATTACAGTTTAGATCGATAAAAAGTGCACTATTTTCTCTTTTAGTAACAGCAACTGTTTATCACCTGCATTTGAAGATAAAGTACCTGTAATGTGTACAGGTTATAGCAGGATAATATTTTTACTCCTACTTGATGACAAATGTATTGACAGCAGTTGTTAAAAACACTGCTATCAAAGACAAAGTCTTGATCTCCAATTTAATTAATAATGTTAGCTTTATATTCCTAATTTCTCAAATAATATGCAGTAGATATTTTTTAAGAAAGGTTCCAAAAACAGCTTTCAAGAATAGGCATACAATCATGTTACAAAATAAATACGAAAGTTAGTATTTATTGTAGTAGTGAGATGCCATAATATTGACAGTTTAAGAACATAGGATTTTAATTTGCCCTAAAATAATGTGCTTTTTATTGTTTTCAAGTCAATATCATTTTATCAAAAATCTGAAAAGTGTTTTTAGTGAATTTGAAATAAGAGACCAACAGTTATGAGATTATTAATGAATTGAGCAGGAAAAATACATAACGCTTGAAGTTTCTTCTTCCTCAAGTGTATCAAAATTGTCAGTCTGTCATCTGGCAGTAGAACATACAGTTGTTTTAAACCTATTCTGCTCTTAGTGAAGAACATAATAGACTAAATTCTGACCCTAGTGAAGTGCATACAAAGCATTTCTATTTGCTGCTGTAGTATTACTTACCACAAATAAATCTGTATTTGCACTGATATAATACAGAGATTGCTCATCAGCTCAGTCCCGATGAGGTGTTAGTCTGCACTGATGTTTGATATTCATTTGGGAAAAGTAAGGACTGAGTGTGAAGAGACTGACACCAAGTAAGATACATTAAGAGAGCATATAATGACAGTTTAAAGGTCAATATTTAATTGAATGTTAGGTAAGTGGAGATAGCTTCTGTGCTTCCATTCCCATCATGATGCCTCTCTTCATTTACACTGTATACCTTGAGATTTTAGACTTGGATCTGCATTATTTTTTAGCATCTGAGACTCTTTATTTGCAGGATTAATGTTTCATGAGTGTATGTGACCTTTAAAAGTGAATGATGTAGATAAAGTTATTTGGACAATCACTTTTGAGGAGGATCTGCATATAAAAATCTGTGTTGGAGAAAATTCTCTAAAAAGTAGTCATACATGTTGTTCTACAAACTTGGATTGAAAAGCAAATAAGCCAAAGAGCACAACCACATACAATTTAAAAGGACTGGCAGAGATCTAAAGCCAAAAGCCAGACTTCAGTTTTATTAATTACTCCCTGTAAAACTCTAGTAGTTAAGCAAATGTAAAGGTTTTGCACCAGAGGCACGACGGTTTGTTTTACAGATGAAAACATGAAGGTAATGTATAGGTGGAAATCACCCACGTGTGATGATGGTATTGACTTGCTATTGCAGCTTTAAGTTGTGTATCAGCTAGGTGTAAAAATCATCAGTACTATAGAATTGGCTATAAATATAATATAGAGTCCTCAGCCTGAGTCCTTGGAAGCAAAACCAGTGAGAATACAGATTTATTAAAAACACTGAAATGTGGAAAGGAATACAAATTTACTAACTGTGCAACATTACAGCAGGAATAACGTAATCATAGTATTAAATATGTAGGGACGTACTTGAATGTGCTTTTGTGGGGGTCAACAAAGGCTTTTTGCAGATGACCAAAATTTGTCAGAATTTGGGGGTCAGGAGGTTGGGGCAGGTGTGCCGTGCCCCTCTGCTGTGTCAGACACCTCTTCCATAGTCTTATCTGTAAACTGCTCAGGCTTCATCTTAAAATAGATTTCTCCCCTTTTCCAGTATTCCTAGGGGATATACTAGTCAAGAAGTTTGTTCTTGTAACCACCAGAAACCTTTTTGCTTAATTTTCCTGTTTTGAAACGATCTGTTTTGAAACCTTCTACTGCCATGTCTCAGCCACGTTTATAGCTTCTTACTGACTGGATTCTTGCACAGAACTTAATTTTTACATCAACATTCTTCCTTACATTTACTGGAGGTTCCTTACTTTGTATGTCTCAATAGTGAATTTGCCACTGATGTCTTGTATTTGTCCTGTCACTGATTACATACATGCAGTCTTCCCTAGCTGTCATTTAAAGTCTCGGAGACTTCTGTTCCTGTCAGAGATTCATCTACCTAAATATTCAACCTTCAACTAATTGTACTTTGAAATTCCTTCTATGCTTCTTATCCCAGTTCTCAAGCTCTGCTACTCTTCCTTTATAAAAAATCTGTTTACGGATATTACCTTCTTTCACGTTACTAGAACTGGTAATCTATACTCTTAATGTAAAAGACCAGTTCAAACATGCAATAACATTTTCTTAGTGTAGAATTCATAATGAGGCTTTAAGACCAGCCAGGAGTCACGTTATGTTAAGTTTTCACAATATGGAATACCCAGATAGCCATGTGTTCTCACATGAAACGGTTATGTAAGTGGATATGTGTGTCATTTAGTAAATACTGGATCATGAAAGCAGTATGAACAACTGAGAATTCTGTGTTGAATTGTATAAAATGGGTGTCAAGGAGATAAAATGAGTATTTCCATTTTTATCATTATTATTATTTTAAATTTTTGATGCTTTTTGTGTCAAAATGAGTATGGTTCATCGTTTGTGTTTGAAGATTTCATAAATCAGAGCTTTCTTCTCGAAGCTTGTGTCCTTTAATGCATGGATATGTGTTGTTAAGTTTATCATACCAATAGTTAAAAACCTGCCAAATCTGGACTTCGGAGGAACCAGTCCCAGTGCAGCTGGAAGGACATCTGTATTCTACAGCTTGCAGTTTTGAAAGTGCTGTGTCAGATGAGTTAGGTAACAGGAACATGGTAACAGCTTTTTGTAGCATGGAATTCTTACTAGGTCTAATTCCAAAACAAAATATGAAAGACTTTATGACAGTGAAAATCCGTGCCTGGAAATAAAATGTTTCTTTTCTGCTTTACAAGTAAAGTGTGTCCAGGTGGGTGTATTGTGTTCATTTTTGCCCCCAAAGTTGACTGCCTATTTGCTTGAGCATACATAGGCATATTTTTCACGATCAGCATTATATTTCTGTCAGCTAGAGTTTGAGTTATTTATTTCTTACTGTACTATCTTACTGAAATTGCTGTAATTTTGTTCAGTGGGTGAAATATACTTCTGTGCTTTGAAGTACTGGAGTGCTACTTAAACCTTGTTTCAAGGCTGATGTTGAAGTCTAGTACTGCATATTCCACCTGCTGGCCACAGAGGCACTTTCCCAAATGGTACGAATGCGTGCAGGTGCATTTGCACAGTTTAATGCAGGTGCATTACAGTGATTTGGATCTAAAAAGAAAATAACAGAATGGTGTAGTGCCCGTCAACAAATGTTGTTTAAGTATAATCTGCAGTAAAAAATAGAAGGTAAGAATACATAGTGATTCTGGATTTAAAAAAATACATTTGACATGATTGAAAATTAGGTAAAAGTAATGATGACTTTCATTTTTTTTTTCCCTACGTGTCTTATGGAAGGCTTATTTGATAGTCAGTATCTTTAGATGTTTCTCTTGGGACTTCAGGCTTATGTGAAATGAAGAATGGCACGATTTCCTTGTGATTGGAACTTGAGAGTTCAAGCTGGTAGTAGATCATCCAACAGCAGATCTGTCACTAGTTATTTATTGAGTCTGGGCTTTAAATGTGAATTTGGTTCTTAAATGTGAATCCCCTTAAGACAAATGAAAACTTACTGGGTACCCTATTGCATTGTCAGAACTAATATTAATTTTTAAATAGTTTGTAATTCTGAATTCCTTGTGTGCTTCATTGTGTACTGTTTTGTTAGTATGGTTAAACTTGCTTTGAATGTTTTATTTAGCATCCCTTATAAAGCCACGTTCAACACACTTTATTAACTAAGTTATTTATGGTAAAACTCAGAACCCTTGCAAGGAGAATATGTTGGTAAGTAGGAGGGAGGAAATAAATTTGAAGACTTGAATCATACAGAATATGTCTCTTGTCATTTTGAGTTGATTTGCTCATGTATTATTGAAGAAATAAGTATCCAGAAAATGTCAGCAGTACAGTATGTACAGTACAAACAAGGAGACCAAAATTGCTTGTGATTTGAGCGTCTCACAGTTACATTAGTACATCATAGTGGGTGTATTAGCGTTTCTATACAGAGAAGAGACAGTAGAACAAACCTGCGCATCCATTCTGGTCGTATTTTTTTTTAAAAAGCACATTTGCTAGCAGCAATAACAGAAGATTCAAACAAAAAACTTCCCTAAATGCCAACTTTAAAAGTCAGTGCTTTAATTTAAACATGGCTATTGTGAACTAGTTCAAAGCTGTCTTACAGCTTTTATTGGTTAGCATTTAGTAGCCAGTGTTGTTCTACAAGACTTGTGTGTTTTTTTTTGTCAGACATTATCTTTAAAATCGTTACCATTAAAATGTTTAGTATCAGTACCAAGTTTCCTAACCATAAGTGAGAATAACCTATTCAACATTTTTCCCAGACACCCGAGGAGCTAGAAGATGTATCTGACCTTGAAGAAGACCATGAGGCACGTAGTCGCACAAGTGTTCAGACGGAAGGGAAGACTGACAGGGTATGTATTACACCACTGTATTTAAAAAATAAGTTGATGAGGGGAATAATGCTATTAGATTATTACTCCTATGAAACCACCTAAAGTCATGCAGTGAATCATGAAAATCGTGTTCAACTCCTAATAGATTTCTGAAAATGTGTAGAGTGCATAAAACTGATAGGTATTACCTGAGAGAGAAAACAACAATGTATTTTTATTATTAAATTAATTTACAAATACACAGTGAAAATGTAAATTAAAGAGAAAATTCTTACTCTTCTGGATGAAATTCTAAAAGGTTACAGTTTCATCAATGTGTCTTCTTCTAATAGAGGTTAGGTTAATAAGGACTTTTTGTATCTGGGTCTTACCTGTAGCCTGCAAAGCATATTAACCAAAAATAAGCTCTATGTGTGAGAAACTGCACATGCACAGAAAAAGAAAGATGTCTGCAGTCCTAGCCATTGCAGTGCATGAGTTACAGACTTGTACTTCTGTGAGTTCTCCTGTGAATCTATTCTATAGATTTGTATAGAAAATTCTATTTTACTTGATAAGTGAACCCATAAGGAAGTGTGCAAAACTTACTGTAGCATTTGGCAATTAGATCTAGTATTTCTGGAAGTTCTGAATCATGTTTTGCTGTTCGTATAATCATTTAGCCTTAGGAGTACAATGCATTACTGGTTATTCTGTACATTCACACATTTTTAAGAACCTATGAATATTTCGAGTAGCAAAAGGCTTCTTAGTACAAAATTGACATACATAGCAAATGTTAATCTTGTCTATGTTTCAATTTTATAAATGTTTCAGCAAAATCATAGACTGTTTGCAACTTCTAAAGTTGAAAGATCCCTGGGGCCAGAAATGTGAATTTTATGACTTAATTGTAGAATACCTAGAGCAACAGCAGATTTCTCACATTTAATTTAGTCTAGTCTACCAAAATAGAATTTAGAAGCAATAGAGCTAGTTGGAAACCAACAAATTATTCAATTAAATAACAAGATCAATAAACCAGGATTTTTATTTACATTTGTTTTCCAGCAAACTTTCACAAACACGATTATTTTCTTTATTGAGACCCTAAACACTAATCAAAAATTTGAAAACAAAAGCTGTTCTCTTGCGTTCCATTTCTTATTTTAAAATCAGAATGAATTCTGAAAAATTAGGTAAGTTATGAATGGAAACTGTGGTATTAGAATGGTGCCTGGTTCATCTTTTAGAAACTGCTGTCAGTTTATAATTTCAAACCATGTACATATGATGAGTAAAATTAAGTCAGTATTCTCTAAAAAAAAATGTTGATTTTATTGGCTGTATTCCATTTTCAAATGTAATTCCATGATACCTTTTGTACTTCTTGAGGCTACATTAACAAATCTGGACAAAAAAGGCTTTTGTTGACAGGGGCTATGTTAAGAAGCAGTGTATTTAGTATAGCTGGGTATTTAATCTGTTTTCTCCATGAAACAAGGGAAAACTTATTTACCTTTTTTAAGATGTGCATATCAATTATGTGTTAATTAACAATCAATTGATTCTTAAAGCATATGGCATGCAGTGTAACAAGTATGAAAGATTATTCTCACCTTTCAGGGTAAAATTTCAATTGCAGTTAAGAAAGGCAAACTTTTCATTCAAAACGTTGTCCCTATGAGATGATTTGTTTGGAACAGGTACAGATGGTGTGCTGAATAGTTTCATAAATATCCCATAATGAATGCACTGGGAAAACAGAAAAGGTAGGCTTAGGTGTTTGCTATCCTACAATAATAACAAAGGGTTCACTAATGCTCTAAAAGATCTTTAAAAGACACACAGTCTTCCATGTCTCAGATAAGCCAAATTATTCTTTTAAAAGGAATTTTCTTTGAAAAGAAAGCCATAAGTAACCCATACTTCTTGACATCTATGAAAAGGAAGAAGTAAATGCTGAGGACTGTTGTAGGTCGAGTGCTGGGTATCAAAAATAAGAGGCATAGGCTATTGTGGAGAGATCTCCTTGTACTACACAAACAGTGTAATTCTGCACTGTCAATATCTGTGGTGGGGAACGAGAAGGGACATGTTTGAATCTTCTCCAAAGTCAGATCTCTCACCACTCCAACAGGGAACTGGTGTCTTTGAAAGAGCTTTTTTTTTTTTTTTAATCATGATGTATAAAGCATGTAAAACTGAATGTGATGTGTGTATACCCCATGTAACAAGGGCTACATCTTAACTCAGAACTCCTGCTTTTCTTACAAGGTCAATAACTACATTTTAAATTCTAACTTTTCTAGAACCCATCTCTCTCTGGTTAGTAGTGAGATGACAGGACTGAGATGTAATCTGGTATTTATATTCTTGACTCTGCACATAGGTAATCTTGGAAACATTACTTCATTGTCTTTCCCTGAGATAATTCCAGATCTTGAAGATGAAATTGATAATGTTTATGGCACCTTCCCACATGGTGGGAAGCCAGTAATTAAACTGGATAGCAACGTTAATTATTATTTGTACCCCAATTCTATATCCATGAAGAAGTTCTTTAGGAAGAATCTTTTTGATTTGAAAGCCAGATCTACCATGCAAAAAGTGTTCTTCCTCTAGTGGTTGCGTCTAATTTGCGTAATTACTCTGTAAGCTCAGCAATTTTGCTTGAGGAAATTTATTCCATCGTGGTCAGTGTTAGTCCACTGAGGTAATTTGTGGCTTATCATATGATGTTGAGTTGAAGAGAAGGTCAAGTAAGTATTTGCCCAGTTAATTTTCAGCCTTAGAAGACAATGTACATTCTGAAGTTGGGAGAAAAGTTGAAGGGCTTGAAGTTACAATATTAATGAATTGAATAGATTAGCTTTATTTTAAAGATATTTGTACAGGTTACATGTTCACATTGAAGAATAGGTAAAATATTTTATCTTGTGCATAATCAGTCCACTTACAGATGATGAGTAAAAATGCTTTCAGGCAAGCACCCACCCACGTTTTTTCTCAGAGTTCAGTAGATGGTTTCATGAATAGAGATAAAAATGTGTGAGAGTTAGATCTACTTCTATACAGATTTGTTGCATATTGTGTTTGCACAGCAGTTCAGTGTTGATGAAGAGTTGACTCAGTGTTATAGAGTGAATGAGAAAATCCAGGCTGAATTTATTCTGCCGTTTTATTTGTATTATGTCTTAAATACAGTGATCATTAATACATATCTAAAAACATATTCAGCCTTGAAAAGACAGTCTTAACCAAACTTTCTGAGAGAACAGGTATAAACAGTAAGAAGATCTGCTGATATTTCCATAAAATCTTTTGCATTTGCAGTCTATACAGAGGCTATGGCAGAGTCATCTTGAAGGAACATTCAGAGATACCTAGTCCAACTGCCTGGCCACTTCAGGGCTAGCCAAAAGTTAAAGCACATTAATGAGGGCATTTTTCAACTGCCTCTTGGGCACTGATAGGCATAGGGCATCAATTTCCCCTCTAGGAAGCCAGTGCCAGTGTTTGACAACCCTCACAGTAAACAAGTTTTTCCTGATGTCCAGTCTCAACCTCCCCAGCACAGCTTTGTGCCGTTCCTGCGTGTCCTGCCATCTGTGACCAGGGAGCAGAGACCAGCACCTCCCTCTTCACTTTCCCTCCTTGGGAAGCTGTAGAAAGCAACGAGGTCACTTCTCAGCCTCCTTTTCTCCAGGCTAGACAACCCGAGTGTCCTCAGCCTCTCCTCATTAGAACATGTCTTCTAGCCCTTTTACCAGCTTTGTTGCTCTCCTCTGTACGCTTTCAAGGACCTTATCATCCTTTGTACATTGTGGAGCCCAGAACTGCACAAAATATTCAAGGTGAGGCCACACCAATACTAAATATAGCAGGAGAATACCCTCTTTTGACCAGCTGTCTGTGTTATGTTTCATGCACCCCAAAATGTGTTTTGCCCTCTTGCTGCCAGGGCAGCTGTCAGAAGGGACCATGTAGGAGGGAGATGAATGATATATTCTCTTACTCAATAAACAATGACTATGCATCATTATTTATGATGCATTGTTTATATTAATATCCTATATTAATATAAATGCTGACATACATTAACAGCAATTCTTTTCTATCTTGATAACAAAAAGGCAAGTTTAAAATAATAAGTAAGTTTAATTTTTAGCAATGCTGCACAGACAAATGTTAATGACAAAAATCAAACGTAATACAAGTAGCTACAGTAGTATTGTGTGGGTTCTGCTAATAGTAATTTTTTTACTTAATATATGGCAAAAGATTCCCTGTGAGGAGTCATGATCTGTCAAAAGCATTTAAGTGCTAACTGCCTTCATCTTTTCCCTTTATTGAAACTGTGATAATTAAGAATTAGCAAGGAGTAAAAATCACTTTGAATTGTAAACCAGGCCTCCTATACTGCAGATGTATAATGTGTGTTTCATCCACGCCATTACTGAAAATAGTGAATAATGCCGGAGTCAGGGCCAGTCCCTTCAGATTTTCATTTGATAGTTCCCTCCACCTTGTCATGAGTTCTTGGTAAATATTCCGTGAACAGTTTTTCAATGAGTGTCACAACTACTCAAGGGCAATTACATCTAGATCTTGCTTCCCTAGATTGTGTAGAGAATGACATGAGAATCAGTGACAACATCTAGTGTAGTCCAGATTTTATGGCATGTTGAAATAGGACAACTGGTGACACAGCAGGTGGTAAACTTGAAAGAAGAAATCAAGCTTCTCCCAGCTGTCAGTATCACACCCATACATTTCACCTATAGGGAACATGCTTTGTATTCACTTTGCTGCAGATTGCTAATATCCAGCATTTGCTGTTTCGCATCTTTATCCAAACTTGAACAATTGTTCACTTAGCAGAAAAAGTAGGATGTGATTTAAAAGTTAGTGGGCACGTTTTATTAATTTTAACAAAATCTCTTCTAACTCTATGCTATATTCAAGAAATGTGCTTATGTTTGGCATTTATCTTATGTCTGCCTTTGTGATAAAATACTCAACTGATGTGCACAGATTGACACATGACAGATCTGCAAAGTTGTATACATGTATAACTTACAAATTTATAAATAATAACAAAAAACAATCACAGATCACAGTTGGAAATTATTTAAAACTGATTGAAATGTGTCACTATCTTTTGAGTTGAAGAGATCTTGTTTACTTCCAACAAATGTCTTTGAAGCTGGTGCCCAGTTGACTGTAGCTAGGGAGCAAAAATTTAGGTGGGATGGTTTCATGCAGCTGCTGAGCCCTTTGTGAAATAAAAAGCTTAGCTCTCAACTAGGCAAAGGAGGGATATGAATCTGGTCTTTTTGGATCTCTGCCATTACCTTCTAACTACAAAATGTGAAGAGCACATTACTTTGTATTCTTGTTTTTAAAAACTCTGAAAAGAGTCTATCTTCATGTGGTCCATTAAGGAAGTTGGGTTTATTTTCTTGGTAATATACAAAAGTGTAGCAAAGTGGCATTTACCTCTTTTCTCCTTGCAGTTTCATGGTACTGCAACTTACAAAGCAGGAAATGTTAAATAGTTTTCAAAAGGAAGCTTTTCCCTTCGGAAAAAATATCTGGCTCATCTCTACCTTAGACAGAGGGAGTTTTTGATAATGTAAACATCTGTTTGGATGTACTGTAAATCATTCTATTATTTCTGTTTCCATCCTTCCTCCCTGTAAGAGGTGTGCTTTTTGTTAGAGAAGAAAGAAAAATAAGAAAAAAGATGTCCTCTCTCTTAATTTTTACTGTTATCTTCTACTGTGGTAAAAAAAACCTTTGTCTTAGAAGTAATGAATAAAATCATATTCTCCTGATGGACAAAATAATCCTGCATTCATGTAATATCAGACATTTAATTTATATTTTTATTTCACACGTACCTATATGTTTTCTATTTTAATGCAAGGTCATGTCTGCACTTAAAAGACTGTGTGTATATTTGTTTTATTTTGTTACCGTATATGTTTTTAAAGTGGTATGAGGGAAAAGAAACAGAAATCAATGTCAGAATTGTAGTTTTCCGTTGCCCCTTTGTTCCAGTGGATAATGTGTCTCGTTCCAGCTGAGAGTCATTTGTGTTGGCATGTAACAGGATACTTACAGTATGTTAGACTGCTTTCATTAAGATGTCATCTTTCTTGTGGTTTCTAAATCCAGGCTTGTGTTTTTCAACCCAAAACAGTGTAAAAAGTGGTATTTAATTCTTCTGATTCTGGAATCTAACTCTTTGTTTTTGTCTGTTTCATATCTTTCTCAGGAAGCTCATCTTATAGCCATGAGAAAAATGTCTTGGTCTTACATAGTCCTTACGTGGTCCGTTGTAGGTCTTTTTTTTATTTTATTTTATTTTATTTTTTACAAAACAGGAAAAGTACTGCTTAAAACATGCAGTTACACTTTCTAATTTAGTGACTGTAATTATAACATACTTAGGGAGACCTGTAATTTCCAGTAATTTATATAAATGGAAAAATTAGCCTCGTGACAGAGTAATGTAAGCATAGATAAAATCTCTTAAATGGCCTGGCTTGAAAAACATATGCATTATATATTAAACTGATTACCTGTTATACCAATTATAGGTAATTCAGCCATTGCCATAACTTTACATTTTAAGTATGGTAGGTGATGTTTTATAAACAAAAATAAACCACAAGGTATTTATTACTGCAACATAATTACAGTGTGTAATTCTTGATAGCCTACCATGCAAGAGGTGGACCACTTCAGAAAGTGATAAATACAAAACACTGAGAGTAGCGCCATGAAGATGAGCAGTATCAAAGATCTTGGTTGCCCAGCCTGGTGTGGAACACAAGGTATCTGCATAAAGTACCAGTGCAGCTGATTTCAATATCTATTTTTATTTATTTATTTATTTATTTATTGTACATATGTATTTAATCATTTCTATAATCATAATTCATTGCTTAAGAAAAAATTGTAGTAAAACTTGAGGGAGTTGAGATTATGCTGAGGCCTCATTAGGAGGAAGAGGAGAAATGAATAGACATATATAAATATATATATAAACATATATAGAGAAAAGCCTGTAAGAGCATGAAGCCTCTAGTGATCCTGGCAGCAGCCCCCATGCCATTGTTGTTCATTGTTGTTCACTGTTGTCTCCAGTCTCTCTGAGAAGCTTTTGTGTAGTGAGGATCACATGTGTAGGACTTAGGGCTCGGAGGTAAGAGAGGGCACGTGGGAGAAAGCTTTGTGTCACAAGTTTTTTGCCTGTAGTCAGTTACTTATGTTGAGCTGTTTGGTGCTTATGTACCAAAGCAAATGCAGTCTAGATGACCATTGCTGGCTGCAAAAAATAAAAGAAAATGTGGGATACTCTTTCAAATACTGCTTTATCTCAAGTTCCAGATACAAATCTGAAACAAAATATGAAAGAATTTACTATGGGATTTGCATTTAATGTTTTCACATGTTGTTTTCATAACATGCTTTTCTCAGTGTCCCTGCAAACTTCTGTTTATTTATCCGAAAATTTAAAACAAAGAGAGCTCTTAAAAAGGTCAGAAAAACTTGATGAAGTTCTTAAATACAGAAAGTATTTTGAATTCATAGAGCTGCCTTTTCTTTATCTTGGTGTGGTTATCATGCTTCCAAAGGCAGCATACTGTATCTTGTGATTTGAGTGCTTTTCCTCTGTGGGTATGACAACTCTGACGTGACTTGCTGGGTTGAGTCCATCAACTTCTAAAATTGGTTAAGAAACATTAGGAGCATAAGTGAAAGCTTGCTAGTCCTTTATGCATTTAAAATACCAAATCAACTGCGACAAACCTGAGCTTTGCTTCAAATCACTGATCAGGACTTTTAAGTCTTGGGGAATCGATACCAAAGAATCCCTTCTAAGGCATTTCACACTCTTGGATTACGTGTCTGAATTGGGACCAGGCGAGCTCTGTTTTGGAGACGCAGTCCTGTAGGAACTGCCTCCTGTACTTAACAGCCATGTGGGGATTTAAGCTTCTGGTTCTGTGGCTGCAGAGCCAAGGAAGAATATGAACTTCCTGAAGGTTCTCATCCAGGGTATCTGTTTTGTACTGAATTTGATTTGGCTGACACTGGTTAGAAAATTGGCAAGAGCAGCTTTTGGTTCTGGCTAAATTAATCCATGCAATGTAAAATCATTTCCATAATAACCGCATAGTTCTGCACAACTGCAGATTTCAGTTTACTGGGAACTGAACCACAGTTGCACTTCTGTTTGATTCCATTTGAAATAAGGGGATGGGGAACAGGATGTGGCCCTCACAATCCATGAGCAAATGGTTGACAACAGCACTTAGATGCACACAGGTTCATGGGGCCAGGTGGGATCCACCCAAGGGTACTGCGAGAACTGGCAGAGAAGCTGGCCAAGCTGCTTTCCATCATTTATCAGCAGTCCTGGCTATCAAGGGAGGTCCCAGTCGACTGGCGGCTAGCAAATGTGACGCCCATCTACAAGAAGGGCCAGAAGGTTGATCCGAGAAACTATAGGCCTGTCAGTTTGACTTCAGTGCCAGGGAAGCTCGTGGAGCAGATTGTCTTGAGTGTCATCATGTGACACTTGCAGGGCAAGCAGGCGGTCAGGCCCAGTCAGCATGGGTTTATGAAAGGCAGGTCCTGCTTGACGAACCTGATCTCCTTCTATGACAAAGTGACGCGCTTGGTGGATGAGGGAAAGGCTGTGGATGTGGTCTACCTTGACTTCAGCAAGGCTTTTGACACCGTTTCCCACAGCATTCTCTTCAAGAAACTGGCTGCTCTTGGCTTGGACTGGCGCACGCTTCGTTGGGTTAGAAACTCTCTGGATAGCCGGGCCCAAAGAGTCGTGGTGAATGGGGTCAAATCCAGTTGGAGGCCGGTCACTAGTGGTGTTCCCCAGGGCTCGGTGCTGGGGCTGGTCCTCTTTAATATCTTCATCGATGATCTGGACGAGGGCATTGAGTGCACCCTCAGTAAGTTTGCAGATGACACCGAGTTAGGTGCATGTGTCGATCTGCTCGAGGGAAGGAAGGCTCTGCAGGAGGATCTGGATAGGCTGCACCGATGGGCTGAGGTCAACTGCATGAAGTTTAACAAGGCCAAGTGCTGGGTCCTGCACCTGGGGCGCAATAACCCCAGCTACAGGCTGGGGATGAGTGGTTGGAGAGCTGCCAGGCAGAGAAGGACCTGGGAGTGATGGTTGATAGTCGGCTGAATATGAGCCAGCAGTGTGCTCAGGTGGCCAAGAAGGCCAACAGCATCCTGGCTTGTATAAGAAGCAGTGTGGCCAGCAGGGCTAGGGAAGTGATTGTCCCCCTGTACTCGGCTCTGGTGAGGCCGCACCTCGAGTCCTGTGTTCAGTTTTGGGCCCCTCACTGGTGACAGGACGAGGGGGAATGGTCTATAAAGTTGCGCCAGGGGAAGTTTAGGTTGGATGTTAGGAAGAACTTCTTTACTGAGAGGGTTGTGAGGCATTGGAACGGGCTGCCCAGCAAAGTGGTGGAGTCACCATCCCTGGAGGTCTTGAAAAGATGTTTAGATGTAGAGCTTAGGGATATGGTTTAGTGGGGGACTGGTTAGTGTTAGGTCAGGGGTTGGACTATGGGACCTTGGAGGTCTCTTCCAACCTAGGTGATTCTGTGAAACTTTAGTTTATATAAGTGATCTTAAATTTCCTGATGGAAAAAATGCACAGTACTTAAAAAGCTCTAAATTTTTCTTGACAGATCTTCATGAATCAGATATTTTTTTTTGCCTTATTTGTTAACTGTGTTTTGGTTTTCGCTACCTATTATTTTTGTCTGCTTCCTAGCCTGTGTGTCTCAACAGGAAATGTATTTGACCCTTGTCTGGTGCAGACTGATAATCTTGCTTATGAAGAAGAGTATTAGGGAAAGTATTTCCATTCTTACCATGCTGCATTTTTAGAAGTTGTTTCAGTATTAATATATTGAGTACTTCTAAAAATAAATATAATGCTTAAATATAGGAAGAATACATGTGTTAAGTGTATGTTATTCCATACTCTGAAATTGCACAGAATACACCACTTCTCTAGCTATACTAAATCTCAATTTGAAACAGTTTTAGTTTGTGGAATGTTTGCAAACAGACCAGTCTAGAGCTGCAGCCTAGTACAGAGCTGTGTCCTACCTGAGCCCAGTTTGAATGTGGCTACATTTGAACACTGGATATTTATTTTCATGTTGGCATTCAAGGTACTTGTTTGGTAACTTTAGTCCCGTGCCGATTTTCTAATGTGTTAATCTGTTTCTTTATCTTCTTCAAAAACAGAAGATGCAGATTTGAACAAGCAAATCTTTACAGTTCTTAAAACGGCACTGGGTAACCTTCTCAGAAGAGAGGACAAGCACACTTGAAAGTTTTAGGGCAGTTAAACCTTTTCCTTTGTACTCGTCTATCTGAAAATGTATTGCATTTTATAACCTGCATATATATATATCATACTTTAAAAAAAAAAAAACAACAGACAAAAAAAACCAACTAGGCTTTTCATTCACAGTAAAAGGAAAATCTGTCAGTCATATTTTACAAAGGCTGTTTGGAAGAATTTTATCTTGTTTCTCTGCCTACATTAATACTAATGGTTTCATGGGACAGCACTGTTCCCATTCTGCCAACCTAATTATTTGACCCAACTCAATGATAGTGTAATGATTTTGAAATTCAGAGGTGCTCAGGCCACAGCATGTTACAGGTATGTGTTTGATAATACTCAGTAATATATTAAAAAAACAAACAAAAAAACTACCACCATGAGCAAAAACAAAAAACCCTCCCTGATAAACAGATGTTAAGCAAATAAATTTATTTTATATTCCAGGCTAAGATGACTCAACTGCCAGAGGCTGAAAAGGAAAAGATAGCTGAGCAAGTGGCTGACTTCAAAAAAGTCAAGAGTAAGCTTGATGCAGAGATTGAAATATGGGATGATACCAGCAATGACATCATTGTTTTGGCCAAGAGGATGTGTGTGATTATGATGGAGATGACTGACTTCACAAGGTAATTATGCAAAAAATGCTCTTCAGTACTTATAAATTTTGGAGGCCATTGTCATATTGCTATGACAGGAAGTAGTGAGTTTTTAATGTTAGTTGACAGTGTCTTTACAAAGTTGAGTGGCTAAGATAATGTAATTAGGTTTACAATGCTAGCTGGTAGCACAGAACTGTTGGAGGGGAGGTTTCAAGTTTTAAACCATGCTTGTCCTTTAATCTTTTCTGTTGTTTTTCATTTGGCTTGTTGAAGTATTTTGAATTTTTTAGTGCTTTATTTCTCCTCTCAATGAAAGAAAAAAAGAAACAATCATCTTGATTTTATAGTGTAGTTCTGTCTTGTCTGTTATTCTTCTGTTTGTACCGTACCATGCTGTCTAGCATGTAGTATATTCTAGTCATGCATAAAACATACTGGACAGAGCATATGTCTGGTGTATACATTCAGAATCATGCATATTTTATATTGCCTTGCCTGCTATTGCTTTCATCAGAACTGTATCATGCTACTTTACTTTATGTAGCTTGGGAAAACAAAATGTCTTACAGTAGACAGCTTTCAAAGCTAGTATTTTCCTCTTGACAGTATGTGCTGTGCAATAACTGTATATATGAAACAATCTTAAGTTCAGAAGCTTTTTCTGCCCCATACTGAATATATGTTCAGTAAATTTCATCAAATGAGTTATACTGAAAGTAAGTACTGGTTGTTGTGCAGTTCTTTTTATTAATAATATTGATAGGTAGGTAAGGCCTCAAAACACAAGCGGTCTTGCAAGACCTTTCATGTCCCATAAAATAAGTCGTTTTACGCAAGATACGAAGAAAAGTCTAAGCCTCTTGGACAGATTCTTCAGGGGTGTAAAGAGTTGCATAGAGCTAACAAAGCCAAGATCTGGCTTAGGCCTGTTCTCAGTAAGGCAATTGTAGCATTTTATCATGGTAGCCCATTTTAAATTCACCTTCACATGAGGGAGAGAGAGTTGAAAAATTGTATGTTGAACTCTGTAATCATTTTATTCTCTTTGCAGCATACAATTTGAGTTGAGACCATTGTAAAAGCAAATGTTCTGCCCTCAAGTCAAGCTTTACAATTGAAGTCACTTCTCACCAAATTGTTCAAATTACCAGATTTATATTATTCAAGATTAACAAGGCCAGTTCGCATTCTTAACTTTGCATTTTTGGCTCTGTTGAAAACAGTGTAATTTGCATTTTTGAGTCCAAGAGCAGTTTTTGTTCAGTGTTGCAGATCACCAGAGAATCCACTAAGAACACGCTGGTAGAAAAACTTACCTGAGGGGAAAATTAAAATCTACTGGGATGAGAGAGGGGAAATATTCTTTACTTCTAAGTACGTTATGGAACTCTACAATATTTTAAGATGCATTTTGATGATTCTCTACCCAATTTTAGGAAGTACAGTTATCTTTTTACTTCACGGGTATTTAGACAATAGTATGAGAAATGCAAGCATATACAAAATACTTGTTTACTGCATGCTTGATGCATAAGTTGTAACTTCTTTGGGGTATTACTAACTTATCAAGTCTATTGATATGTTTCTAGGACTGTTAGTAACAAAAGCCAAGTTGTCCTTACCATATTGTGTATGCAGTAATGTCTTACTTTGGTACTTTACATAACTTCATCTCAAACTGTTAGAAAGCTGTATTTGAATATGTCCATGTACGTTTTCAAGTCAGTTCTCTTCTGAGTCATTCTGCCTGTTGCATGCTCCAAACACTGCAATCACAGAACAGAGGTTACAGCATAGCAGCTACGCTTTCCTAGAGAAAGCATATACATATCTCCGTAACCCGATGTCCTTTTGGAGGTGATTTTGTTCCACATTCTTCCATGTATTTAAAATTAATTCAGTCCTGTATTTGGGATAAACTTACAAAAAAACGGTTATTTCAAAAGAACTGCAAGGTTCTTTACCAATAATGTAATTTGAGAATTGTTGGACAGTTTAGAAAAAAATTACAGAATTTCTAGGTTGGAAGAGACCTCAAGATCATCGAGTCCAACCTCTGACCTAACACAAACAGTCCCCACTAAACCGTATCCCTAAGCTCTACATCTAAACGTCTTTTAAAGACTTCCAGGGATGGTGACTCCACCACCTCCCTAGGCAGCCTGTTCCAGTATCTCACAACCCTTTCGGTAAAGAAGTTCTTCCTAACATCCAACCTAAAACTCCCCTGGCGCAACTTTAGCCCATAAAAAAAACAACAAAGTTTTTATTTTCTTATTGAGAGAAAAATACATGCATTTGGGACTGTATATCAATAATGTACCTTAAGCCTGTTTATTAGCAACATACTCAGTTTCTGTAAAAAACAGCTTTGAAAAATAGTAACTTGAAAAGTCATACAACAGCTTTTAATCAACTGCTTAAAGAGTTTTAATGGACCTTTCTTAAGACAACTCTGAGTCATAAGCTTGTTGATCCCTAATATAGTTATATAAGCACTTCAGAATTCATCGTTGCATTAAATTATATTCTCTTTAATGTCTCATATTTGTAAGCAAGTACTCTTTTGTTTAGAGTGAACCAACTGATTCACAGGCCAAGTTTTTAAACTACAGTATAGTACACAGAGACACTTCACAGATAGGTCCTACACCCCAAATCCAAACTAAACTCTTCTTAGCACCCTTAAAAGTCTACCTCTTCAGCGGCCAGTTCTGGTCTGTTCTCTTCAATTTACATACCACCCATCAATACAATGAATGTCACAAATACTACAATCTATATATAAAAGCAGTGAGTTAAATTAACTGACTGCTTTATGTCTATGTAGATTACTTCGATAGTAATCTATAGTAATGTTTGCTTAAAAAGCTCAGTCTCAAAGAGCTATCTTCAATTTAAAGGATGAAAACTCATTCACTGCAGAGGCTTTTCCTTTAAAATAGCGTATTCCTGCACAGGAGCCTGTGCTGAAAAAGTGAAAGCTCAAACCAGATTAAATCCTCTTACTTTGAAACTGGTAGGGGGTAAGTTCTAGACTGAGTTTTCAAGATGTTCCTGCTCATTTTCCTCTGGCATTTCAGACATCAGAGACTCAAGACCACAAAGGGACAGAGGTCAAACCAAGCTCTTACAAGCACTTAAGTCTTCAACAATCATCCTATTACACATTGTACTGTAAGACACTGGAAAACTCCGCACATGAGGAGAATTAAGTTATTCAGAATGACTATGCAAAAAAAAAACCTGTTAATTATAAAATGTCATCTAACATAGCCAAACAGAAAATCTACAGACAAATCCCTTGAATCTCATCCTCACCCAGGAAACAGAATGCTTTCAAAAGCTGAACAAAGAACTGAAATGCTGCTTTCCCTTCCCTGTGATGCAACCGATGTACATTCTCTAGTCTCCACAATCTAAACCTCTGGAAGACACTCATCAAGTTTAAATAAAAATGAAGGCTTTTTAGTGCATTTGAAGGGTAACAGAGATTTACTCAGGCAATAAATGACAAAAAGTCCACGACTTACCTGAGTAGCATCTGCTGCAACAAACACAAAATGTCATAATCCTTTATGTCTTCTGTGCCCAAGACCTTTGAATTGCAGACTGGAGAGCTCAAACCTTAAGACAAGCTGGTGCTTGCTGTGGCCTCAGCAGTCTTCATCCCTGGATGTTCATGGGGAAGGAAGCGAGAAGGCCAGCTGTGTTCTCGAGCACTGTCAGTCACCTTCGGTACAGCAGCCGGAAGGGGCAGATCCGGAAGAGTTAACCTATTTTTTGGATTAAAAAAAGGTTATTTTACTAGACTTCATCTGGCATCAAACAGTACGCTGTAGTCACTGCAGTTTTACCCCTGCCTGTTTTGCAAGCGTGACTATCAGCAAGCTTTTCACAAAATGCATCTCACTTGCCATTGGCAATTGAGACTTGTCTTTTTAAATGGCAACCAACATCAGAGTCAGTACTAGAAACATAGTAAAAATCGCAAAATAAAGGAAATCAAAGTCCATCTCCTCTATATCCTCCCCATTAAATAGGAGAATGCAGATTAGTATCTGATTTTTCCTGGTTTTGAGACTGAACAAGCTTTGTTCTCTCAGCCTCTGTCCCATACATCATGTGCTCCTACCCTTTCTCTAGACTCTCTTCAGGTTGCACTGAGGGCACAGGCAGTATGAGGCAAAGTATGCCGGGTGCAGCCTCACAAGGGCTAAGTACATAGCTATCGCTTCCCTCAGTCTGTTGGCTGTGCTGCTGGTAATGTAGGCCATTATGCAGTTAGCCTTCACTGTAGAAAAACACATGGCTAACTCATGTTAGGTCATTTTATGCAAAGTCGTTACCCAGTTACTTCTCCCCTGCAGTTACACACGGGGTTGTTCTGTTCCAGATACAAGACCATGCATGTGATTTTACTGAAATTCATAGTTTGTCAGCCCATTCTTTCAGCGTGCCGAGATCCTTCTGAATGGTAGTCCCACCATCCAAGTATCAACCACTACCTCAAGTCAGTATTGTCTGCAGACTTCTGAGGGCCTGTTCTGTCACCTCAACCATGTTCCTGAAGGTGTTAAACAGTATTGGCCCCACTGTCATCCCTGAGAAGCACCACTTGAACCAGTCCATCAGTTGAAGTTCGACTCACAGACCATTGTGCTGCAAGACCAACAATTCAGCCAGTTTCATCCACTTTATAGTCTACCTGTCTAGCCACGTCTCTTCAATTCGCCTGCAAGGATGCTGTAAGATTGCTAAAAATGACTATGCTAACAAGTCTATTACATTTCTAGGACTTAGTAACAGAAGCCAAGTTGTCCTTACCATAATTTATAAAGTCATCTAACGTGGCCAAAAGGAAAATCTACAGACAAATCCCTTGAATCTCATCCTCGCCCAAGAAACTGAATGCTTTCAAAAGCTGAACAAAGAATCACAGAATTATCTAGGTTGGAAGGGACCTCAAGATCATCGAGTCCAACCTCTAACCTAACACAAACAGTCCCCACTAAACCGTATCCCTAAGCTCTACATCTAAACGTCTTTTAAAGACTTCCAGGGATGGTGACTCCACCACCTCCCTAGGCAGCCTGTTCCAGTATCTCACAACCCTTTTGGTAAAGAAGTTCTTCCTAACATCCAACCTGAAACTCCCTTGGTGCAACTTTAGCCCATTCCCCCTCATTCTGTCACCAGGGACATGGGAGAACAGACTAACCCCCACCTCGCTACAGCCTCCTTTAATGTACTTATAAAAAGCGGTAAGATCGCCTCTGAGCCTCCTCTTCTCCAGGCTGAACAAGCCCAGCTCCCTCAGCCGCTCCTCGTAGGACTTGTTCTCCAGGCCCCTCACCAGCTTCGTCGCCCTTCCCTGGACCCGCTCAAGCACCTCGATGTCCTTCTTGTAGCGAGGGGCCCAAAACTGAACACAGTACTCAAGGTGCGGCCTCACCAGAGCCGAGTACAGGGGGACGATCACCTCCCTAGCCCTGCTGGCCACACTGCTTCTTATACAAGCCAGGATGCTGCTGGCCTTCCTGGCCACCTGAGAACTGAAATGCTGCTTTCCCTTCCCTGTGATGCAACCGATGTACATTCTCTAGTCTCCACAATCTAAACCTCTGGAAGACACTCATCAAGTTTAAATAAAAATGAAGGCTTTTTAGTGCATTTGAAGGGTAACAGAGATTTACTCAGGCAATAAATGACAAAAAGTCCACGACTTACCTGAGTAGCATCTGCTGCAACAAACACAAAATGTCATAATCCTTTATGTCTTCTGTGCCCAAGACCTTTGAATTGCAGACCGGAGAGCTCAAACCTTAAGACAAGCTGGTGCTTGCTGTGGCCTCAGCAGTCTTCATCCCTGGATGTTCATGGGGAAGGAAGCGAGAAAGCCAGCTGTGTTCTCGAGCACTGTCAGTCACCTTCGGTACAGCAGCCGGAAGGGGCAGATCCGGAAGAGTTAACCTATTTTTTGGATTAAAAAAAAAAAGGTTATTTTACTAGACTTCATCTGGCATCAAACAGTACGCTGTAGTCACTGCAGTTTTACCCCTGCCTGTTTTGCAAGCGTGACTATCAGCAAGCTTTTCACAAAATGCATCTCACTTGCCATTGGCAATTGAGACCTGTCTTTTTAAATGGCAACCAACATCAGAGTTAATACTAGAAATATAGTAAAAATGGCAAATTAAGGAAATTAACATTACTTTAAAAAACAAATCTAGCAAAATCATCCCCCCCACGCTGTCCCCACGTTATCCTTATTATAAGCCAAGATCTACTTCTGCTTATACCTGTTCTACTTATAGAAAATTAATCCATCATTAACATTTTCTCTCAGTAGTAGTCTTAAGACCCCAAGTGCTGCTCCCCAATCTAGCAAATCTCCATACCTGCTAACAACCACAGTCCTGAGTGTCAATTTAGCTGCTGTCCCTCTCTAGTGTTTGCTTGGGAAAGTAAACGAGGGGACCCAAGAAGAGAGTAGGATGCCAGTTGTGTACTTACTGGGAGTTAAAGAGGCCACAGGACTAGAAGAAGAGAAAAAAATAGATTCAATTTCTATTCAAGTTCACCCACACAGCTCCTCATCATATCTCACTCTTTGCCCTTCCTGGTGTCGTAAGTCAGAGTTACCCATGATCCTGCTTTCTCTTCGACAGCTAGACTTCCCTGAAATACTACAGAGCTCTTTCATTGCCCCCTCAAATCCACCAATCTCTTCACCTTTTTCTCACCCCTCTTAGCCCTCAGATTTCTATCATTTCCATTCAGCACCATCCATCTTGTCTTGAGCCTCACCCCCATACACACATTGCTAGTCTGTCACTGACATACAATGTGGCAATACGTATTTATTAATATCTTATAAGTAGAGTAATAGTACCTACATTGCTAAAGCCCCTGAACTGATTGGATGCCATTAAATCTACAGTTCTACTTCGGGTATATATAAAAAATCCCCCTCATATCAGAGTATTCAAAGCTCATCATTATTTCAGTAAGCAGTTTGGGATCCTTTTGAGAGTCCACAGGCACTTAATGTTTGCATCATAAGAAGATGAAAAAAAACCAGCTATCTTTAAACTTAAGCATTTCATCAAAAATTGCTTAAAGATGAGAGGTTGTTTTGTCAAAAGGAGTTTTGTCCCACTGAGACATCATAAAGTTATTTTGGACCGTTCAGCTATATGGCAAAGTAGGTGAACTCTCTTAGGGTTCTATCATGAAGCTAACTTTGACCAGAACTAATTGCATAAAGACGTTCTTTAGGATGAATTCATTTCTAAAGCAAGTATAATTTAGTTGTGTGCACATATTTGCATGTGTTTTATCATACTTGTTTTGATGAACAGAACCAGTAGGATTTACTTGGTACAACATGGTAGATGGAACAAATAAGATTTTATTGTTAAAATGAACAATAGAATTGCATTAGCTGGATAGTTTAAATATTAACTAAGATTTTGCAGTACTTGCAAGATACTGGCTGTCCTGCCAGAACTGCATGTATACTAAGTAGTAGCTGCAGGCAGTTGTTCCCCTCTGATAGAAACATGGTCCCCTCAGATACATGATGAAGTGTTGAGATACGTCAAGTTAAATCACATCATATAATGCAGAATCAGCTGGTATTGCTCATTCCTCTTGCATGTCAGAGCTTCTGAAGTGTATACAAACTCAGCTTTCACAAATACATGAGGATTTTTGAAGACAAAAATCCCACACATCCTCTCCCACCCCAAAAGATTGAGTGGATTTCATGCATGGTACTGTATCTTTATTCATATGATATTTGAGTGATAATTGATGATATTCATGTGGATGCTCTTGCAGATATGGTAGCTGTAAAGAGTTTCAGGTGTTTCCTGAGGACATATGCCAGCAAATAGTTAATCAGAAATATCATTTGCTGTTCTAGTGGTCTTATTTTTTAGGGCTCATTATAACTTCTTAAAAGGGAGTGCTTTTTTGAAGTGCTGAGTATTCATCCCAACAGATTTTTTTAAATTCTGAAGACATCTACATATGTTCTTTTATACAACTCTATTTCAAAGTGACAATCACCTTTGGGGAATGTAGTGTTGAAACCAAACATTCCAAGCTTTGTTCCTCCCCCCAAACACCATTTGGTCATCAGTCCATAGTCAGGGTATTTAGATATCCAACTTACTTGCAAGTTGGATGGATTTGATTTTTTTTCTGTAGCAGGCATAATTGACAAACAGTAAAATATTCAGGTATGTTTTAATTACCGTTTTTTAAATGTATTTTTTACTTCAAGCCCAGGGAAGTGGCGGAGTCACCATCCCTGGAGGGGGAGGTCTTTAAAAGACGTTTAGATGTAAAGCTTAGTGATATGGTTTAGTGGAGGACTTGTTAGTGTTAGATCAGAGGTTGGACTCGATCTTGAGGTCCCTTCCAACCTAGAAATTCTGTGATTATATATATTTTTTAGAAATTTCTGAGTCAGAATTTATTTCTGAACTGTGAAAAACAAATTCTAAATTGTTAAAGATTATTTAGCTAGAGAATGGGTTAGGTTTGAAGAATGACACGTACAATGTTGCTTGCTGTTTTACAGGTTAAAAAAACATGTTAAAGACTCATAAAACAATACAGTGAACAGCTAGTGGCCAAAACAATGGATGCAACATTAACATGGCAAAATACATCTAAACCATGTGTAAACTAACTTCAGTAAGCAATTGTTAACCATTGCTTACACTTAAACCAGAGATACTAAAGGGAAAGGATAAACCAAAGCTCCATGTCAGCATCAAAGGAGGAAATGGGATAGCATATGCATGCTTACATGCAATCGCTTTGTTTTGAATCTGCACTTTACGCTTCTGCCACTTAAGAAGCCTCCTTGCTGCTGTGTTTTCTCTGTTGTTCTTTGAACACAGACTTTTTACAGTTCTGTTCTCACCTTTCCTGGTAACAAGCCACCTGCCTTCACTGTCAAAACCTTTTGGTGTACCTCTTACCTCTCTCACTACAGTTTCCCTAGTCAGCTCATAACTTCCCTAATACATACACACTTCTTTTGCCACCTGCTAGATATTTTTTAAAGAAGTCCTTTCTGTGCTGTACTTGGGAAGCTCCTTATTCTCATTCACAGCTCTCATGGAATTGCTCCAGGTTGAGGATTAGAGATCAGCAAGTGTTTTAGCTTGCTGGTCTCACTTGCTATCCCACAGTGCAGTTTCATATCTCTTTGATTCATGTGCAAGGATGCTGTAAGATTGCTAAAAATGAAGGTGAACATCTACTGCTATCCCCAACATCCACAGAATTAGCTGTTTTATCACAGAAGGCAGTTTGTTTGACAGACTAATTGTTTCAGTCGTGCTATCTGTTCCTAATCATACTCCTGTCCTCAGTGTTCCATCCTTAAAAACTTGCTCCATAATTTTCCCCAGAACTGAGGTAAGGCCTTTGCCCATAGTTTTACAGATCCTCTTTATCTTTTGAAGATGATTTGAAGACTGGATTGGAGTTGTCTGTTCTTTCTTGTTAGATTACAAGCTCTTTGGCAGAGATCATTCCTTTTTGCTGTAGGTATACAGGATGTTCTCCAGTAGGTCCGGGACTGTGTCAAGTTTATGGTAGCAATTGCTGTAATGATACTTGAGGTGTAGCTTCTGCTTTCTTGAACATTTAATCACACAGTCTGTTCCTTCCTAATCTCATAATTTGATTGTAAAGTTCAAAGTTACTAATGTGTTACTGAAAACAAAAAGTTGAAAATAGAGCAGGTGCTTCAGTTTCCCCTGTGACTGCTATTAACTTCCAAATTATTTATAAAATTTAAATATAATTAACCTAGTAACTCTTGGTTATTAAAGTGCTGCATATGCAATTGCTTGTCTTCCCTGAATTCTGATCAATGCTGTGATGCTTCTAGTTCTGGAAGAAAATACTAATCTGTGAGTGGAGTTATGATTCCAAAGTAAGGCTTTAATGGAAAAGATTGGTTTGGGGTAAGCTAATTACATAAAATTTGCAAGAACTGTGGTACTCCTAAATCACTATTGATTGAAGCTGCATTGTGCTAAGCTTGTTGTTTTTCCTCCCTAATATGGGAAGGATAAACTTTTGCCCCTAACATTGTTCACTGGGAGAGCAATTGTAGTGGGAAAATGCAAGCTGTTCTGCAAAAGAATGCAGATGTTCTGTTATTTCAGATTTCTTGCATTGACTTACCTATATATCATTCTACATTATAAGCATGTGTAATTATTTCACTGTTCCTCTAATTGCCAATTTTAACCTAATTTTTCATTTGATGATTATTAAGAGTTTAATTAACTTTTCTAAAGAAGCAGCTTTCTGTATATATACATCTTGATTTAAGTAAAATCTAAAGTGAAGTAATGCTTCACAATATCAAGCTTAATCATTAGGCAGTTTTTATAAATGCAGCAAAAGCTATTTTATTTTGACATGCAGCTGCCCTAATTTCCATTGTACATTGGTGTTCTTGCAAAACATTTTGTAAGTTTGCATTTTCCATGTGAGAAAGTCAGGTGTAGGTGTAATTAACAGAGCTCAGAACTTGAGCCTTTTGTAGATACAGATAGGCATTCTTTTGAAAGAATGTTATGTTGAATGAAAACAAGGAATCATTTGCTAGTTGAAATAGAAAGCTCTTAAATTTTGTAGAAACAAACTAAACCAATCCTTTGCTTGGTCTTTGAATAAGAATGCTTTTCAAAATTATTACCTTCCCAATAATGTGGATATAACAATGTACTCATAGGGAGTTCTGCTAGTTAGCTGGTTGGAAGTCTACAATTCTTCAGCTTAATTCTGATGTTTGCTTTTGCGGTGTTTCGTTGACTCCCTGATGGACTGTCCGTAGCCATTTCTCAATCATTTCTTTTATGCTGTAGAATTCCTTGTAGATGTGGAAGCTGTGAAGACAGATTCTTAGTACAATTACATGTTCCACATAGTAAAACTCAGAAGGCTCATTATTTAAAAAGGAATTCTATTTTTTATAAATTTAAGATCAAGAAAGTGTTTGTATACTGTAAATCCATTGTTTTTGCTGACCTGTTAAGGTCACATCTCCTGTATGTCCTATAGCATACATATGACAAACCAATATACTAGTGGGAATTTTGAAAACTATTTGAAGACCTCTGCCTCAGTATCTCTAAGTAACTAATACTTTCATGAGAACAATGGGCACTCTAGAAATCACGGAGAATTAAGAACTGTTGTTTCTCTTCACTCTTCTTTTGGTAGACCTCAAATTCCTTGCATTTTTAGCAATCTTACAAGTAGTCTAGCACTTACTTCAGGGTACCTAGTACTTCTTGATACCAGTATTACAGTCATTAGCACAGATGAAGCAAAGAAGTGATGTGATGGAAGTGTTTATTGGCTGGGCCAGGAGGTTAATGAGGAACTAATGTTCATGCCTCACATGCATAGCAAAGCATATCTTAAAGCAAGGATCATACTCAATACAGTAATATAATAAGACAGATAAATTTGTCTGTCTATCCTTCTTAGCATCCACCCAGGACTAGAACCGAGACAGACTACGAAGGCACAGAATACATTAGAGCAAATACAACTTCTCAGTAAAACAAGATAATATGCATCTCTTGTGCTAGAAAGTGCTGTTTTTCACTTTTTAGCTTTAGTGACTACTATACTCAAACTGCAAAGTGAGTTCAGGACCCTGATAGCTCCTGCTAACATGAACAGAAGTCTCTCAAGCAAGTGGGGGTTCAGGCAGTAATTTAACAGCCTCTAAGCCACTGCTCTTAGCCAACTGGGAAGCCTGTAGCAGGGCAGTCTCTTGTGGGTTACAGACCAAGGAAGAACTGTATCTCTGTGAGCAGCATTAAGGACCAGCACAAGGGTGAAAGCTCTGTCACCTCACAGCAGCGTAGGTTGTATACTGCAGTTATTTTTGCCACTCAACAGGAATGGACAGAAGCAATGTTGGCTGCCCAGTAGGGAGCAGAGCATCCCAAAGGTGCCATGCAGCCATCATGCAGGGCTTAGAGTTACCTGCTCAGTTCCAGGCTTCTGCAGGGCCAGCCACCACTTTAACTTAGACTGCTCAGTTTCTACCCATGGTCATCTTCTGCATTGTCCTTGAGGCAGGAGGAGTAAGACCCTGAGACTGTAAGGATAAAGGCTACTGCTAGGGAACAGCAAGAACCAGCTGCTTCCTAATGGAGGCAAGCCTGGATCCAAAAGTAATCCCAGTGCTTGCAGAGCTTTCACTGACCAGAGCAGAGTTCTGCAGCATCCAAACACAGCAGTCAGCACAGGGCACTCATAACAAAAGCCACCAGCAGTCCTAGACAAGTTAAGTGATAAAGCAGGTCTAATTTATCCAAAGAGAGAATCTCCCAAAGCCAAGGTACAGCACATGCACAAGAGACCTATCTGGGAAACACAACACTAGCAATATAGGTCCAAAGCCTACTGAGGGTAGAGTCCAAAGCCTACTGAGGGTAGAACTAGAAACAGAGGCAAACATACCTGTAAATGCAGGCCAGGTCAGGGACAAAAAGGGAAGGTGAGGGTAGGGCAGGGCTTAAATAGAGCTTCTGAGCCAGTGGGTGGAGTCTGTGGGAGGGGGCCTCAGGTGAGGTTGTTCAAGACCATTGAGGCCTTTTTGGTGCACTCAGGGCTCTGACAGCTGCAGCTGAGAATTGTTGTGTCTCCTCTGTCACTTTTCCGAGTCTATTCTGATGGCTCAGGCTCACCTAGCAGGGGAGTCTGATAATACGGTGTCCAAACCAGATGTGATGTGATCAATGACATACTACAGTTTGCTGTTCATGTTTAGGGATGTGCTGGTTTTTGTGGCATTCTCCAGTTGGCACATTAGTCAGCCTGGTTTTTGTACTTCGAGGCTTGATGCGAGTCTTGCTTCTCTGTTTATTTTTGCTCAAGCTGTTGTTTGAAAAGAATGCCCAGAAAAGTATCTTGGAGAAATAAAGTAGCAGCATTAAAAAGGCAAATCACCTCTCCTAACTTTTTCACTTTAAAATATAGACCTCTTTTTACAGAATTTATTTGCTATATTTTGCACACGCTATATACTTTTTGCTATAACACCATATGTTCAGATTCTTTCTGAATTAATCAGCAGAAATTAGAAGCTACGCCTTTGGAAGGTTTCCAAGAAATAAAGACTGGAAACTTCCGCAGTTATCAACCCCTTCATTGGAAGTGTAGGCACGTCAGTGAGTTAATTACGACCAGAAAGTTGACATAAAATATTAGTTCCTTTTTTTTTTTTTTTTGCTGGATTCATTGCTGATTCAATGCTGTGCACTTCTACAAGAGATCAGTCACATCCAGAGTATGATGTACACCAGCATTTCTCTTGACTGCTTATTGTCCAGGGTGAAAAAAGCTGATTTATGCAGTTACTGCACTGTTGATCTGTCTGGTGTTTATGAAATACAAGCATAGAGTTTAAGTGTCAAAGTGGAGTTGGCAAAATTGATAGTACAGATAGTATTCTCTGTGGGTACATAAAAATCAACACTAACTGTTGAAAGAAAGAGGACCAGTAGTAGCCACACATAGTTACATAAAAAAGAAACAGAACGGTTGGATGGTATTTTATAAAGTAGAAGGGAATGCTGTTGAAGCTGCGTAGACTTCGTGGTGCTGGCCACCACAGTTTGCAGATACTCTTCAGAGGCTTGCTCAAGACTGAGATGAATTTAGTAAAGTGGTGATAGTTTCTAGACTGCTGCTCTGATTGTAGTGAGGAGGCAGGTGGGCAGTCTGGTGAAAAAAGGAGTGAGGAAGGCTTCCAGCAAGGAACTTCTGTGCCATCTTTCTTCTTTAACCTTAGAAGCAACGCTACAAACTTCGAATTTCTAGAGCTTCCAGCTTCTCTGCAGGTTGGTGCATACACAACAAAATGGAAAGAATAATCTTCCACACTGTGCCATATTATCAGAAATAACTTAAAAGATACCTTCCAAAGTAGCACTCACTATTTCCTCCTTGCACGGTCTTGGATAGAAGAAATAAAGAGAATAGGAAACTCTTGCAGGGCTTTTTCCCTCGTTGTGGCTGTTGTACTATAGAGTACTATGAAGCTCCCTCAGAAAGGGATGTAAGCATGAGCTGCTAGTAGATGGAATAGAAAAAGAAAGACTGAAAGAAAGCCAGAGAGGAAGAAGCCTGTAGGGGCATGGGGAGAACAGGCTAATAACTAGAATGCAGTTGTCAAGAGAACGCCCTTTCTTGCTGTAGTGTTTCACAGTGGACATTATGAACTAGCAAAGAATAAAACAGGCAAAGCACTCTTGCAGAGGTACTTTCAAATCATGCAAATATGCAGATTTTCATTATTCAGTAAAGATGGTGCCAGGTAGAAAGGACTTGAATTTTCAAAATGTTTTCCATGGTTTCTTTATCAGACTGTAAAATGTATTACATGGAGTAAGCCACATTTTCCCATGTGTGCACCCAAAAAGCAGGTTTTATGGGGGTACCCAGCCATATCCAAATCAGCTAGAGCTTCTCCAAACTGTGTGCCTGGATGTGGTCATTTTGTATATCAGAGATTTATAGGGCAGGTAGATGAAGCATGGTTAAAACATTGAATATATTACCTAAATCCTTCTTAACAATTGTTTTACTTTTATTTTCCTCTCTTCCCTGAACTGAGTTATAGACCAGTTGTTTGACTTAATAAAGCACCTCATAAAGCACTTAATAAAGTCACCCTCATCACTATGCAGATGAAACCTCGCTGACTTCTCAGAGACACAGCCTTCATCTTCATAAAACCAGTTTATCTATATAGTCTTTCTTCCTCTCCCTCTGCACCATACCAAATGTGTGCTTTCTTCTGAATGATCAGTCCACAAGACAGGGTTTTATTTGAACCCGTCCTTTCTTTATGGCCAAGAGTCAAGCTAGGACAGGGTCAGCATTCAGTAGAACAAAATTGTTTCAAGAAGTTGCAGAGCTACATGCATTCTTATGGTAATTTCTGTGTATTTCATTTTATTTATCCTTGTAGTTTATTTTCATTTTCTGAATATGCATACTAAAGAGAAAAACTGTTTAGTAATGCTTACCTTGGGAGCATGCTGAACAGCAGAAACAGTACTCAACTGCTGTGTTTTCTGCTAAAAATAGAACTGGAGTCTGTTCCAAACATTTTCAATTAAACCAGGACCTTTTGGGGTTCACACAGCCTAGCAATAGTTTCAGCACTTCTTTCTTCAACAGCATACAGCATTTTTAACCACATTTTTTATCCCATGACTTTGGAGGTTGCTGTTTTGGTACTCTTCCGGACTAGACTTCTTTCTCCTTAAAATGTGCTGATAGCGGCATTCATTCTTAGAGTATACCTCAACCCTGATGTAGTACAACTGTTCATGAAGGTCAGTGGGCTGTTTGGCTTCTCTGTTCCACTGTATTCTTGACACCTTTGAGGCATAACACTGCAGGGCAGAGGGAGACATGCCCATACCACAAACTCCTGACTGCCTGGCATCAGCTGAGAGCAGGTTTCAGCTTTTTTATTATAAAGTTGGCATTTCCCTTGTCATGCCCTCAGTTCTGTGTGGAGACATACCATCTGGTTTGCTTGAAAGGAAGTCGGATGGGAGATGATGGACAAAGCTTGCATTTGGATGGAATGGCTCGTAGTGCTTGCCTTTCTGAAAGGCAGATGGCCACCAGTTGGCATTGTTCAGTGAGGCGGTGTTCTTAGCAATGCAGCAGATACTTGACTGCTTAGAGGCTGGTATCTGGGGATATGGAGGTGTGTGACCTTAATATGAGTAAATATTGTGACAGGTGTTTTGGAATGTCCAGGTCACACACATGGAGTCGTACTTCACCAAATGCCCAACAGCAGTAAATTCTTTATTGGAAGATTGCACTGGCTGTTAACCTGGGCCTGTAGAAGATAGTAAAGGTGGAAAAGTCTGCATCAAATATCTGCATTATAGATTGCAAATGTATGATCTTCTTGCACTATATTTTTGCATACTTATCTCAGTCATGAACTGTTGAGATCATCTGAGTTTTGTCCTTAATGTCAGCAAGTAGTGGATCAAATGCATCCAGTAGTTCTGTGTCATCTGTGATGGCAGAGGAAAGTGGTGACACTGTGCGGTATAACCTGCATGGGTGAGAATTAACAGACAGAGTCTCAAAGCTTAGCAGGGTATCTTCAATCCACAGTAAGCTTATTGAAAAGCTGTTGTTTAAATATACTTGCTCTAGTAATACTTATTTCATTATGATTGAGATAATCCCTGTGTCTGCACCTCATTTATTCCCCTAAAAGAAGTAGCTGATATTATCATTGCGGTCGTTGTCAGCTTTATGGGAAGTCCATGTCTATTCAGCATACGAAAGAACAAAATAAATAAAACAACTAAAGCTGTAAAAAAACAGTGAAAATGGGATCCTTACACAATTTCTTGAGTGTCATGATTCAGATAGCACAAGCATAGCTATTTAAAATTCTTGGTGATCATCTGGGGAAGGAGAGAGTCACTTCCATGAGATGGAGAAATAGAAGAAAAGCTTATGTCAAAGTTGGCTGTGAAGAACAGCGGTGTATAAAGTCTGACAAATATAGAGCATAGCTACCCATTTTTAACAATTTGCTCTATATTGATTTTTCCTTTCTATAAACATTAGTGGCAGTGGAATAGATTGAACAATGGAAGTATATCAAAAGGAAGTGTAGTCACATTACAGAGCAATGAAATAGCACTTAGAAGTTACTGCCTGCCCCAGGAGGAAGCGTTTTGCACAGGGCAATTGGATGGTGGATCAGTAATCGCATTAGGGGCAAGAAGGAGTCATATCCCATGCTAAGATGGATAAACTTTTTAAATAGTTTAAATAGATTAAAAACTTGGGCGTGATAAGTAGCAACCATTTGAAAGGAAGCTACTTTAGGCTTTGGTGCACTCAGAGCCTCAACTTGAAGTATTAAAGAAGGGTGTGTGTCTGGTTGTTCTTCCTGCAAGGGAAAAAGATAAAAAGAGGTCCGTTACCCACTTGGAACTCTGTAAGGGAACTGAACACATTCTCATCTTCACATTGCCTATAGTAAACCTTTGTACAGCTGGATTTCACTGCTTTTCTGTTTATCTTTTAGGTGGGAAGAAAATTATCTTTACATAGTAAAAGTCACTGAATTTTTACTTAAAGCTTTGTTTAAGGACACAAACATTGTGTCCCTCTTCCTACCTGGGTGACAAGTAGTAGGGCTTAAATACTTGTTTCTGAGTTTTTCCAGTTGGGTGTTGGGATGTGGGGGGGTCAGGGGAAGAAGGGGCTTTGTGCACACTTTCATAGGTACTTAACCCTTAAAATATATGATATTCTGGGATACTTGCAGGTAGTGTGCTTCTGATTAGTATTGTGTCAGAGAAAGAGGAAGCAGAGGAATCTATTGTTTGATTTTCTCCATTCAGGACAGCATCCCACATCCACCCTGGTGGCTATCACTTGTTCTCTTGCTATCCTGAGACTAGTCTGTCTGTCTTCACCTAGAGCTGTATAAACTAGTATCAAAATTAAGGAAATTCTTGGCCATTCACACCAATGCCTTTCGTTTATATTTTTCATTAAGTACTGGTTTATTTTCAGAGTTGTTTCCATTGGTTTGAATGCCAACTGGTTTTAATGCCAGAAGAGGTTTGAAGTGTCTTCTATATGTATGGTCCTGTGGTAATTGCTAGACATCCTGTAATGCTCTGCTCAAAATAACAATTTTTTCTTTTGGCTAAGCAGTTACAAACAGATCATAGTTCGCAGTTAATTATACTGGAATATGTAAGATTCCATTTCTCTGTTTTGAATCTCTTCATTAAAGCTGTCTGGCCTCTGTTTATACTGCTTTTCAGGTGGGACAGATAGAGGTATCAGATGAGGATAAAATGAATAAGAGGGATTTACCTACAAGATTTCTCAGTGCATATATAGGAAGGCATGAACTGCAGGCACTGCATGGTGGGCATTTGTTACTGTCAACTGTCAGAGCTTGGTGCTGTGGTACACCGAGGGCTGCTGCTCTTGGGTGACTAACATAGGATATGGCAGGAAAAAGTTGCTGCCAGAGAACTTACTGCTCTTGGAAGGTATATTACAAGTGTTCACTCTGTTCATTTCCTTTAATTTTCCTTCTGTGTCTAAAACGTTTGTATTTCTAAATATATTGTGGCTATAAATGGTGGTCTAGCCAGATTGATTACTGCAGCTCAGCTCTGCCAGTGTTCTGTTTGCCACGTGTGTTTCTTTTACAACTTTTCTTTACACAAGTCATAATTTTTCTTCTGGGACTTGCAGTTCAATCTAGATTAATAAGAGTCACTGAGTTACTTGGAGAATCTTGTCTTTCTTTTCTTACTCATACCTTTTTAAACTGTGAGGTTTGTTTATGTTTTCTCTCAAGGGACACTTTCAGCATACATCACCAAATTCTTTCTGAGAGCAGTTCTTCTCTACAATACAGCAGGCTCTGAGGCCCCATGATAATCATAAAGCTTTTTCAGTGGATCTCAAGTGAAGTGTAAGTTGTGCTTGAAGAACAGACAGTTGTTGGGAATAGGAATGCAAATGACTTCCTTGCTCTCACCCATTCCCAAGTTAGAGCCACTCAGATAACATCTCACATTAGCTTCTGAGGGATAGACAAAGCAAGCAGTGAGAGGAAAAATTACTGTGGAAATACTCTAAAGGGAAGTCCCTACTGAGTGGCCATTCTTCTCCTTTACATCTTCGCTGCAGTGTGGAGCCTACATTTTGTGTTTCCCTTTCAGTTAGACTGTGTGGTGTTTCATCACTAGTGCTTTAAAAAATTCAAGAGACTTGTCTTCCTAACCAAATGTAGGACAAGCCCTGCTAAAAAGCTATATAGACAAATAATTCTGCTCATACAGTGTGATGACCATTATAAATTTAAAGAGAAATACATAAGTATGTTTAATGGTTTGCTTAACTGTGATAAAAACAGCTTTTCTCATCAATACAGCAGACTTATTAATATGGAAAGAATTATCATGGCCTGGGATACAGCACAAGCTGCAAAGCAGAAATCCACGGGATTCCATCAGGATTTCCGTGAACAACAAGCTCTCTGTGCTGCAACTTGTTCCAGAATTTCTGAATTCCAGAAGTTCTCTTCAAATGTATTTCCTGTTGAGTGACAAAACAAGTTACAGCTATAGTTCTAGGACTTAGAATAAAGTATAGTTTAGTTCTGATGAAAAAAATAGGTTAAGAATTTGTCATTTTTACTCAGGCCTATCATCTTACTCTCTTTGGTATGTTGTATTCAACTGAAACACTCCGAGAAGGTAGTTCTCCTGTTCTGTCCTAGGAAATTTTATTTACTGTTACACAATTTAAAAGTCTGTTACACCACAGAGTCTGTGCAGAGCAGCTTTTCCAGTGCTCTTATCTTGACATAGGGAAGTGACAGTGATGGTTGCCAATGACAAGTTAGTAACGTGTCCTGTTGAATTGTGTTGAATATATTTTTTTTGTAGGAACTGTGTCCATTCAGAGAAGAAAATTCCTTTGCCTTTTTGGTTGTTAAGAAAACCTTTGGAGTGTATAATCAGTGTAACCAGGAATGACCTGTCTTAACAGAGGTTGCACAGGGCAGTTCGCAACAGTAAGCAATGACCTATTTAAGACCCAAATTCTGGCTCTAGTTCAGTCTCTGCAGTTCAGCAGGTGAGTACTTCCATTGCTTAAGGGAAGGAAATCCCTTCCTCACAGCATTCTGCAAGAGGGCTTCTACAACAGGAATGATGAATGCTCTCTATTGCCCATCTATTGTGAATTCCTTAAGATGAAAAGAAACACAAAATAAGCTAAGCAGCTTTGTGCAAAATTATCAGCAGACAACTGTCTGCCAGAGGGTGTGCATTCTAGCAGGCAGTACCGGTGTTAACAATTTTTCCATGTCCATCTCTCAGTGTACCACTTACCTCTCACTTCCATGCGGCTGCAAGAGAGCTTTCTTACTGATGTCTGATGAGTAGAATAGGGATTAAGACCTTCCATGTTTTAACTGCTGTCATTTTGGGCTCAAACAGCCAATGTTGTCAACTCATACTTTTGTTAGAAATCTTTTGTTGCATATTACTTCATATCTTGACACTTGAGTTATGTTACTGTAAGTAAATTCATCACCAGCATGTTTCATGGCTATTGAGCAAATCCTGGAAATGTGACTCCTGAAGGCATAGAAACAAAGCAAATACAAAGAACTTGAGATTTATTTTTTAAAATAACATGGTATTTATTCCAGTTTTGTGGTATTTTGGATCCTACTTCATGATACTTGAATGCTTAAGGCTGACAGCACAAACATTTCACTCACATTCTCTCTGTGTTACACTGTTTACATAAGTAGTTCTGAGTGACAAGGAGAGCCCATCAAGAAAGTGGGAGATTTTGGAGAACGGGAACATAGTGAGAATTCCCCTTCAGTGCTGTGGAGCCATTCATAACTCTGAGAGTCAACAGTACAAATGAGAATGTGTTTGCTTACATTTCCTTACAAGCATGAAAAGTGCAACTATCAAATTGCTGCAAGAAAAGTACAAAGAAAAAATACACTGTTTCTAATACTTTTTTATCCCCATTATGCAAAGCATTTATTTATTCTGAAAATCTGAGATTAGTTTCCTTTTGCATTTTCAAGGCAGGTACTTTTTTGTGGGAGTCAAGTACAGTATTCAGGTTGCAGGTATCAAGGAATCAAAATTGTGGGTGTGCTAGTGCACAAGAAGATAATATTTAGGATTTGATCTTCCTGAGCATAACTGAGAGAGTGGAGCCAAGTCACCTATTCGATGGTCACCAGACTTACAGCAGAAAATATTTTTTCAAGGGATCGCTCTCGTATCAAAACACATTTCCATCAATTTTAAATGATTTTCATATTAGATGCCATGTTAAAAGAAGTTTCTTCAGGTCTCCCATACAGCATACATAACCATATGTATAAAGACACCTTATAGGAGGTGCTGTGATAGAACTTTATAGTGATTTCTGAAACAAAACTGCAAAATAATGCTGCTTTTCTGAAGCCAGGGAAATGCAAAAAAAAAATAATTACTGGGAAATATTTTGATAACTGGTTCAACATATAATCAAAAACTTGTGCAGTATTTAGAAGATGAATTACTGAGCCATTAGCAAACCAGCAATATGATTAGATATCCATATTAATAAACATCTGTCACCGTGGCACAGCAGATGTGCTAGGTGCATATATAACACAAAATGTAAATTTTGATGAGTACTTTTTTTTTTTTTTTACTGCAAAATACGTTACTGACATTAGATACCTTGCCATTTGTTTGATTTTGCAACAGTGAAAGTGTTACTAAAAAAAAAAAAAACAAAAAAAAAAACACAACAAAACACAATTGTGAGGACAGTATTCTTGTAAATCCTAGGATGTGATTCTCCGAATTGAATGGACTAATGTTGAAAGATGAATTTTATTTTCTTCAATTGTCATCTAATAGACGTAACATTACAGGTTTATTATGTGACATTTTGGTACTGGTCATCTTGCTTTTGCTATCTTTCTAGGCTCAGTATCATCTTCAGTTCCAACTGCTGTTGATTTTATAATGCATGGTATGTAGGGTGTACAACTTTGTGTCTGTCTTTAAATATCAGATGTTGGAATCATGCAAAATTTGCCATTGTGTCCTGAAGAGGAAAGTTATGAAGTTGACAAATACATTTGTAAGATGTAGTAGTTTACTACCATAAAAGTGACTTAGTAAGTCCAAAAATTTCTTTAAAAGTGCTATGTTTTTTGTACTTCATTCAACTTAAAATCCGTTTACCATATTTTGAAAACTTGTGATTATTACGAATGTTTTCTTTGCAAAATAGTAGCTCAGCAAAGGATCATGTGACAGAATTTTTATATACCATTAGGCAAATACATCTTCATGAACAAAAATGCTAGCTAGCCCAGTTGAGTTTTTGAGTCAGCTTTTCGTATTAATTTATATTTTCCTGTGGATTTTTCGGAACACTGGTTCCTTTGCTATGATGTACTGGGTAGTTATAATTGTACCCCCTGAGAGGGCTTTTTATTTTTCTACTAGCTCTGAAAGCTATTAGTGATAGCTTGTGGGCAGAGGTGTTAAAAAGTACAATTATTAATAGCACATGTTAACACTAAAAGTGGGATAGCAGAAGTAAATGCTTAAAATGGCATGACTGGTGATTAGCAAGATGGTATTATAGGTAGTAAACGGCATTCTGAAAGATTGATTTTGGAATCAACATTTCTGTGGAACAATAAAGCCTTCAATATAGAGCATTAAGGTAGGAAGTATTGGTAAGAAGGAGTTGAAATGACTGTACTGTGAATCAACTTAAAGATTTTGAAGAAGGTTAGAGGGAAGGTGAAAGAGCTTTGTGAAGGCTAGCATTGTAGAGTAAAATAATGCCAAAAGTTAGACCCGTTTGTAGCATGGTGTCCTTTCTAGCCCATTATATTACTTCTATTAGTTTTGCCAGTTCTTACAGTTTTGCATCTAGCAACATGAGTTTTTTCTTTTTTTTTTTTTTTTCTTCTGAGGTATCTAGAGACCTGTGAGTAGATGAGTCCTCAGGGCTCTCATTCACATCTAAAGATGTGAGATTTTTTTTCTTCCAGCCCTCATCTCTCCCCTTTGCGCTTCTTGTGGAGGTGCCCAACATGGCTACAGTCCTGGTACTGAGCAGGAGCACATGGAGGGACACTGCAGAGAATGGCCTGGCAAAACATGGCCACTAACCATAGCCGTCCATGTTGAGGCAGCCCTTGTTTTGACGTGGACAGAGCCTTCAGCTTTCATTAAAAAAAAAAATAGTTTGTGCTTTCGAGTTTATAGATGAAAAGCTTGAAGACATGACTAGTGTGCAGTCCTGAATTGTAGAAGTAAAACAAGCTTAAAATACATGAGACAAAGGAAACAGTATCTGAGCACTATACTTTGTGACCAGTCTTTTGATTTTCAGTGTCTGGATGATGTTTATGAAGGACTGATTTAAGATGTAGACAAGAGGAATGAGAAAATGTGCTGTAAAAAAGGGTCAGAATTAAAATGGTAAGGTTGTTGTAAATTAATTTTGTTAGAAGACCTCTCAACAACTGTGTTCACACACACAGACTGCACAGTGGAACATGACTTTCTTGTTCTTTTGTATCTTTACGTAGTTTCTTACGTACCCTCAGCAGGAAACATGTACATTCTGAGTCTCGTGGTGTTGTAAAGGTACTCAGTTGTCACCATCATCCATTGAAGAGTCACTTTTTCCAAATACCTGGAAGCTCTAAGATGGGATTCTGTATATAAACAGCCATTGACTATGATGTGTGTGGTATATACAAGGATTAAGTGTTGTGTGTAGTCAGTCCTTATATCAAGATAGTTGCGTGCAGCGAGTCAACAGAGCACCTGGACAATTAATAAGTGTAGAAAAATGCTGAAGGGAGTTGCGAAGTGAGGTGGCTGCAGGATAATACATGTAGTGTTTTGCCTGCTAGAATACATAGAATTGCATGGAAAACATTATACAGACTTCAGTGCTTGTCCTGGTCCCTGTTTTGTAGCTGGAGGTTATGACAGATTGGAACTACCATCATTTAACACCTGCATAAAATTCCTATGTTCGATCCATTGAACATAGGATATTTACAAGGCAGTCAGATGGTAGATAGTGGAGAAAAATCCCACATTTCATAGAATTATATACTGTGTTGATTTGGGAGATGTAATGAAAGTGAGAAAGTTGAAGATGGGTAGGGGAGAGGTGAGATGTATTTCCCACTCTTTGCAGTTTGTTTGGCTAGTATCCCAAACCTAAGTTCCAGGTAGTCTCCATGTAGAGACAGTTACTCAAGAAGGTATCTATCGTCTTATCACAGAGTATATGTGGTGTTCAATGATGTGAATAAAGACATGGTAAAGCAAATTCAAGTCATTAATCCACCTTCCTTTGCTCTTTCCACTGTCATCTGTGTAGTGGGATTGAGGTCAACTGAATTAGAAAAAAAACACAGATCAAGTGTAAGCTCAAGAATGACATATTTATTCGCCACATATTTTATATAAATGCATAATTACAACTATTTGGGTGCATAATTACAGGTGGCACTGTTAGCCTATACTACTTAATCAGAAGTCTCATTCTGTGACCATATTTCATGATAGGTCTTTCCTACAAATTGTAAAAAGGAGCTCTTTGAACTTAGACTTTGTGTTTTTCAGTGTTTATTTTTGTTGGATAATGAATTTACTATCTGTTTTGCATGCTTTTATGTTTGCAAATCTAAAAACCCATGAGGAGAGAGTTCTTTACGGTTGATATTCCTTCTTTTGATACTATATATATATATATATTTATCCCGGAAAACACAAATTCTGTACCATATATTTTACTACTGTGTGTGTGTGGGTGCAATTAAAGGCTTCTCCATAACACTATGGCCAGAGCTTGGGTGGAACCTTCAGCCTTCAGCTTGGCCCTTCTCAGTGCATTTAGTTATGTATCTGTCAGAGTTCCTACTGACCTTCTTCTAGTAGTCTGCATTTTTAATTACAAAGAAAAAGATGAGAAAAGGGCTGTTTTGTATTTGAGAGCATAACTCAGTGGCAAAAAAAAAAAAATTGATTAATTATGTATTAGGTTATTTTCTACATTCCAAAATGATTGTACCTGCTTGAGGCCACAGGGGGAAATACTTTTTTCTCATTCGTATATGGCATGCATTTTGTAAATTAAATACATAGGGCATCCTACCATGCACTTTATCCCCTTACTTTGTTCAAGAAATATGAAAGAGCCTTAAAATGTTAGGAAAACAAGACCATTTGATGATTTACAGAACATTGTACTAAATTTGTTCAAGTACCTGGGTGGTCCATGAACTCCCCATGTAGTCACATGCATCCAGGAGACCACGGATGGCTTTGGAACAAGGGAGTGACTCCAAACACGGAGATGGCTGAACTCCATTAAGGGTGCAGTCCAGTGGTGCAGGAGCTCTCCAGGGGCAAGTTCCAGTGTGTCCTTAAAGACTCCCCTAGGCAGCTTCTGCTGTGTTGATAAACAACCGTGTTGGAGAATCTGGCTTGGCCAGAGTCCCCAGGCAGTCCCTGCTGCACAGCTGATGAAACTGTATGCAGAAGAGAGCTGCAAACAGTCAACAGGAACTGATCCTGCAGATGCAGAAATGGTGACTTAGGCTAGTCCTTCATGCCACCTAGCTAGAGAGGATGCATGTGGCTTGGTTACTTAAAAGCAGGGGGTTATGCACAGGCTGAAGTGGTCATGCAGGCCAACCACAGGCCAAACAAATGATAAAAATCAAGCAGAAAAGTGGTGGGAAGTTCTCTCACAATCCAGCTGGTGATGCTGTTGTGAGGACGCTTGCAATAGAGTCTGGACAGACAACAACTGTCTTGTTTTAGAAGTCTGATTGCCGCAAGAGGAGTAAAGCTCCCAGTAACTCAGGTTTCTTTCACCACTCTGTCCGTGAGCTGTAAAATCAAAAGGTATGGTCTGCAATTATGTTTATATTTTTAATTGCACAATTAAGAGAAAGAAATGCACTGAAGCACAGTGGTCATAAAATACTAAATTAGAATTTGCTGTTTGACTTTTAACCTATTGGGATTCACTGAGTTTTACTGCTGTAACAGGTCTTGCTACAAAGTACGTTTTGTGAAACAATAAGGAAATAGCCTGGAAAAAAAGGTTAAGCGAAAACAGGCTTTTATTAAAAAGTAACAAATTTGAAACAATTCATTTGCTTTTCTCTCACTGGAGAACTGTAAAGATACACTTCAAAGAATAAAGGGAACATGTATTTCCTTTTTTAAAGGTTACAGCATAGCAAGAGGATTTTAAAAGGCAGTATTGACTTCTTTAAGTGGCATTGTTATATGTTTGCACTACAGTGCCTACATACATATTTTCTTTCATTATTAACCCTTAAATGTTTCTTTTTTCTACTTCTGCGCTGCTAACACGTGCTTTTTCTTGACCATGGTGTAATTCCTTGTTATAGTTTAACCCAGCCAGCAGCTAAGCAACACAGAACCATTCGCTCACCCTTCCCCCTCCCTCTTCAGGATGGGGGGAGAGAATTAGAAAGAAATGAAAACCTGTGGGTTGAGATAAAGACAGTTTATTAGGATGGGAAAGAAAGGAAAATAATAGTAATACTACTACTAATGTATACAAACAAATGATGCACAATGCAATTGCTCACCACCCGCTGACCAATGCCCAGCCTATCCCTGAGCAGCCAGCAACCCACATCCCGTCCAGCCCCCCCACGTTAATAGTTCAGCATGCTGTCAGGTGGGCTGGAATACCCCTTTGGCCAGTTTGGGTCAGCTCTCTTGGGTCTGTCCCCTCTCAGCTCCTGCTGCACCCCCAGTCTGCCTGCTGGCAGAACAGAGTGAGAAGCTGAGAAGTCCTTGGCTTAGTGTAAGCACTGCTCTGCAACAATTAAAACATCAGCGTGTTATCAACATTATTCTCATCCTAAATCCCAAACACAGCACCATACCAGCCACTAGGAGGAAAATTAACTCTATCCTAGCTGAAACCAGGACATTCCTTTTGAAAATTCAACACATGGGTCAAAAGAGTAGGAAGCAGATGTGCCATGCTGCAGAGGGAGTCCTTAGAGAGAGCACTGAGTCAGCTGCAACTCACCTCTGTGCTTTCAGACACTGCAGGCCTGGGGCTACAGGGCTCTTAGGGTTGAAACATGCTCCTCATAGCCAAACAACTCTGTGTTTGCTCTTCGTGCTCTCACAGGATAGAACCCTAAGCACTACTTTGCAGACAGGCTCTCAGGTACCTACTGAAGTTTCATGGGCAATGTGGCCCTTTTGTAAAGACGTAAAATGCCCTTTTTCATTGCCCACATTATTTGCACATCTAGGTCAGACTGTGAGGAAACTGCATTTATTAAAATACATGCTGTCATTTTTTTTAATGTTGTTTTTTCATACAAACCAATTACTTTCCATAACAGCTTGGATTTTAAAAACAACTAAAGCATACAACCATCCAACATGTTGGTTTCTTAAACTTTATATATGTTAAAGTCTGTGGATAATTTGTTTGTGACATGGGAAATAGGAGAGGGGAGAGTAATGAGACAAATGACCAACTTCTTATGTAATCAGCAAAACAGTAATGGTACACATGTAACAAGCGATTAAAAATGACAGACATCCAAGTTAAAGCCCCTGACTGTTAAGATCTGCTGACTTTCTTAGAAACTGAAAATCAAAGTGTCTTTTGAAAAGCTGGATTTGAAAACAGATTTGGAGAAGCATTCAAGCGATAATGAGAACAAGAAAGAGGTGAGAAACATATAAGTGATGCTTGCGTAAGATTCCAGAACTAACTTGCTTGTGGTGTTGTGATACACTCTTACATTGTACTGATAATATTTCCTTATGGATTTGGACTTAGAGATTTAAGGATGAAGGGGAAGAGTGTCTGTGTGTACAATTGTAATTATGGAAGGAGTTTGCAGTTCTTAGATTTTCATCTCTACAGATTGTATGTAAACATACACTTCTCTGGTTATTGCACAAGTTAACTAGTGTATATACATGCACATCAGACATTTCCCTTTGATGTGCTGCCTTCCACATTCTGTTGTCGCTGTGATTAGTTCTGTCACGCTTCTGATTTAGGAACTTGCAGTGAAGCTTTTGGCTGTTTTTTCCCCTTTAGCCTCCTGAGCAACACTCCTGACATACTTTCTTTTCTCTTCCCACTTGTTCCATCTTGTGGTCTCATCTCTTCCACACTACTTTTAAGATGGAGTTTCACATTAAGAGGCATCTTTTACAGGTAACTTAATGCTCAGTAACTATTCGAGTAATATCAGCATTTCTTCCCTATTAACTATGCCAGGATAGCTCTGTTTCAAAAGTAGCATTTTCAGGCTTATAGTGCAGCAGTCTACTGTACACAGGGCCACATTTTGAGGCAAAAAATGCTTTGTTTTTAAGCTTTTTAAGATGGGAGACCAGGAACTGTGCTTCCAGTGACAGTTACTTCACAATAGTGTCACGTCTACCTTTGACCCTGCAGCCAAGTTTCAATGCCTGGACTTCTCTACATTTATACAGCTGACAAAGTAAGATACATGAGCTACAAACAAGAGTGTTTTGTCCTTTTCTTGTTTAAATATTTGTATTCCTACTTCATTACTCAAAGCAGAGAGGAACAAAACACAATGGATCATTAAGAAAATGTCTAACCCGTGTTTTAATAGTATCATAACTTTTGTCACAACAGTTATGCAAATGCAGGGGATTTGGTTTGTCATTATGCAGTCACATAGCATTTCTCAGGGTCAGAAATGGCCTGCTTCAGGAAAAGTGTGGGGAGGTCAAGAGGTAAGTGCCTGTTCCTATGTGCCTGTTCCTGACTAACAGCTTTTGCAGGCTAATGGTCAGCCACAAGGCCACTTGAAAAAGCAGGTGAGGGAGAAGGGGGAGGTCTGTGCCCTACAGACCAGAATCCCTGTTGGATAAGCACCCACCAAAGATCAACTACAGTAACCACACAGAGTTTTCATGATATTTTGTGAATTTTTCAGAAGATGGTATTTTTTTTTTTAGCGATGAAAACAAGTCACCATGGTATTGGTGAAATACAGTCAATTTTAGACATTGCAATCAACATCGTATTTGGCAGATGCTAAAGATCTTTGGAAAATAAAAATGCTGCTGCATTGTCTGCTAAATGCTGAGTAAATTTTTGATTGGTCTCAAATGGCAAAATACAAGAAACATGAACAACAAAAAGATATGACTGGGTTTCTCTTAGAGTAAAACCTTCTAAATAACAGCTTTATTTTGTAAGGCTAGTGAAAGAAAAACAGGTTTGGGGAGAGGGATGACCTAGGTAAGAAAATCACAGTAGGAGATGCCCCGGAACAGAAAAAGAAACAAAGGGGCTGACATAAACTTGTACTGATAGGTAAATTGCTGCAAATCACAGTACTTTCCACTTCCCATTCACATAACACGGTGCTATAAAGGATTTAACTACTCCTATGGCTTATTACTCTCGCTTTTATTTTCAACACTACTTTAGCCACAGTTGTATTATCATTCTGCACAGGTCTGGGAAAAGAGAAAAGTAAAAGTTGGCCTTCTACCCATTTAACTCAAAGGAAAAGTCAGGACTTTTGAGCTGTTTCTATGTTTAGTATGACTCCTAATTTATTATTTTTTTTGGTCAAAATCTTTTCTTCAATGCTAGTGCTGTTGAGTTGAGACAGTTAATCCAGTTCAGGTTTGTCCAGAAAGTCTAAGTCACTTTCTGATGCTCCTTGGAACAGGAGGTGGCCACTTTGCCGGAACAGATGGCTTTGACATAATAAAACATGCATTAGGTGAGATGTCATTGTTGATGGACCATGTAACTGTATGAGTGTAAGCACCATAGAATCCTGTTGTGTCATGTAAGCCAGTGACTGCCATTGTAGGAATTCCCATGTCAAGGCTTTCACAGAGCCTTACGCCACTATAAAAAGCTGAACCTTTAGGAAACAAAGCCAAACCTAATCTACTATGATTACATTTGGTCTTTTATAAAGTCTTTCCAGGAATGTTTTCTTTGTCAGACTTACCTACAGAGACCTCATCACTGCACAGAAGCGCAGAAGTTACTTCTCCATACATACCATCTTGCCATTGCTTTTTCTTCTGCAGCATGCTAGTTCGGATACTTGAGCAACATGCGATCCACTAGAACTCCAAATTGCTTCTTGTAATGGTTTGTAGAGACCGACATTACACTTCTATATCTGTGTATTTTATAATTTTCCTACCTGAGTGGACATTCTCTTTTTTTATTTGTAGTTATAGCTAAATGTTCTTCAATACTTAAGATAATCAGAAACCTGGCCTCACAACCTATATATGTATATTAACCTATATATATTAACCTTCCAATCACTGTTAAGTTTAAGTAAAGTAAGCATTCTCTTTTTTCCTTTAGTCAAGCAATAAAAAAAGAACAGAGCAGTGCAGAAATCAGGACAGATTCCAGCAAAACCAGGTTATTTTTTTTTTTTTTTCTGTGTTGCCCTCTATTGTAACAGTTGTCATTCGATAACCAAAGCTGTCTTAGAGGATGCTCTTCTAGCAGTTTCCCATCTCTTGCAGTGATTTTTGTCTAGGCCATATATTCTTTAGGTAGTTCATGAAAATATAACAGGAGACAATTTCAGAAGCCTAAATGAACTAAAAATACATGGTATGTATCTTTCCCATCTTCCTAGAGGCTATAAAATCTTGTTTTACATGGGGGCTGACAATAATTGTCCTAGAAGTCATGTTGATGGCTACTTATTTCTTTGTTTTAGTCAGCATGCTTTGAAATTGATTATGAATTGATAGTGTTTATTGGCACTGGGCAGACACATTTTGAACTGAGACATTTCCACGGAGATTCTCAAGGATTGCACTCCATCACGGTCTATGAGTGATTTATGTACAATTCAATAAAAACAAGTCAGAGCCATACCAGCCCACATTACACTCATCTACAAATACGGTATTTGCTACATACATGTCACCAAGCTCTCACTACCAAAAAAGTCTACGCTTTTGGACCTCCTCTCCTTTTTGAATCCCTGAGGGGGGAAAAAAGAAAGAGGAAAGAGAAACTTCCGTCTTCCTAAACTCATTTGAATTTCTAGAATGCTAGAATGGTTAGTAATACCTATGTTGTGTTTGCAGTTCCTGGGACTTTCCTGACCCATTCATGGGTACCCACAAGGCAAGTATTGTTTTAAATCTTAATTCCCTCCCTTCCAAAAGCTACACAATACTATTTAATTCAAGGCGTTTACAGTCCTTTTCCTCATACCTATTAGTACTTCTTCACATCAGCCTTTTCTCATCTGGCTGTGCTTTCACTTGTATTGCATTTGTTTTGTTAATGAGTGGAAATGCTTCAGCCACTACATCTGTAAATGCTGAGTGTCTTTAGTCAGTTATGCTAGCAGGTTTCCTAGCAAGAAGAATATTTTTCTCCTAATTTTCCAAACCTGTAAACTGAGACTAGGCTACATGGCAAGTGAAAATGGAATTTTCCTTCTCCCCTACCCAGAGCCTTATAAGATGGCAAGGGGGATTTACCTGTACAATCTACTGTTATGTTCACCCTAACATAATTTCTTGAGGAACTCTACCGAGTCCTCTTCAGGTATAAGTGATAAAGATGTGCAGCCACTAGTAAAATGTTTATTTGTTTATAACCTTGGTTTTTTAATGCATAATTCTATAGTTTTGAATGAGCACTCAGAACTTCAAAAATTTTATCTGAAACAGTGTGCCCTGAAGTGGGAGTGAGACGAAGTCCATAGTATTGTGAAGCACCTGCAGTTACATCCTGCTTCTGTGGGGCTTAGGCTTTGTCTTGAGTTGGGATCTGTACATAGAAATACTTTCAGTCATTCCTTACCAGTAAAGAAAAGGAAAACAGTGATAAAAGATTCTGAAAATATTGCTAGAAGAGTAGTATATTCTAGTTCTAAGATGAGCAGTTGCATAGGCTCTGAGAGTTTTACTTCTTTTAGCCTGTCACATGAGAGCCACATTAGCTATGAGTATTACATTAGACGTATGTTAGGAGTTTGTTTTTGAGACTGGCTAGCCAGCAGGACTCATTAACTCTAATGAAGGGGAAACAAAACATCTGCTGATGTGAGTACAGTGAGTAGAGGTAAGCCACTAAACTTTCCTCAGAGACAGAAGACTGCGATGGCAAAGGCTTTTCAGTTAGAGGTAAAAGTTGGAATTAAGAGAGTATTTTTGATAATTACTTTTCAGTGAAAAATTGCAGTGTAAAAGAAGAAAGTAAGTTGTCACTGATACTGATGCCTGCTAAGCACTGGAGTTACAACAGTGTGCAGGCACTGCACTGTGAGGGACTGACTGCAGACACACTGTTCATCATGGCTTGGAGCAAGAACAACAGGCTTCGGTCTCCCCATCACAAAATCCCTCAGTGTAAGAGCAATTAATAAGTTCTAGGCTTTCTTTTTCTTAGCTTTCAAGAGACAGTTCTGCGAAGCTTTTCTCTCCTACAACTTTGTTGAGATACTCTCAGCTGACTTTATTGTTCAGAATCCAAATACATACCCTCTAGTTAGACTTACCTAGATGCTGCTCTTAAATTATTTATCGTCTTTTCCCAGTCCCCTCCTCGCTGGCTAGAAAACTGATTTAAGTGACATAGTAACAAGCCATCACTACCTTGAGGGTGTATAATTGCTCGTAAATATAGTCCTTTCTGTCTTGTCTTTGTTTTCATAGCCTTGAACATGTTATAAACTTACCTAGCTAATAAAGCTTTAGTGCTTGTAAATAGTGCTGCGTGAGGAAAACAGATGGGTTTGATCTTCCACTGAATGAATCAAAATGAGTCATTTGAAGTCCACCGTAGACTGTCAACCCAGTAAAATGATTGGGATGTGTGAGATCAAGCTTGGCTCTGAATGCTATAGAGACCGGAAGCAGTGGAAAAATAGTAAGATAATGCTGATTAAAAAAAGTTACTGAACACCACAACAAATAAATCCAAATTTATCTCATAGAAGAGGGGAAAAGATGGAAAATACATACACTTTTCTCTGTGAAGATTTTTTTGGGGCACCATTGACCAGCAGACAGTACGTAGTGGGAATTACATTTTTAATCCTTCTCTAAGCAGCTGATATAGGTGAATGAGCTAAGGTAATCATCACAAGCATTTATGTGGAAGTCTGTATCTATACTAATTTGTTTATTTTTAACAACTGGACTACCGCCATGGTAGTCTCACAGATTAGGAGGGATGATTCAGTATCAGCTGGAGGATAATCCTGGACTACATATGTAGAAGGAAGGGGAGCTTGGTACAATGACATGGAGAGGGCACCAAGTCAAGTATCTTAAAAGACAGAGATGGATACCTCATTGAAACAGGTTCCCAAGAAAAGCGTATTTTCATACTTCGAAGTTCATAGGCAAAATGCAAGGACATTTAAAACTGGTAGGAATCTACTGATTGGGAAAAAAATAAAACAACAATGTGCTTTAGCATCTCTAACCTCTGGAGTCGGGTTGTTAATAAGAACTAAAAGGTAAGTTGTCACTGTTAGTCCCACTCTCCTTTCCCTGCTTCATCAGTTCTGGGTTATGTTCCCTTTTTGTGTAGTTTGACTGGTAAGATTGGGTTGTAACTTCTCAGGATGGTTTCTGGACCACTTACATTATTTGTACAGCACCAAAAAGACTTGCCAAGAACAATTTAACAGTGGCTTCTGGAAGAAACCACAGGGGAAATAACAGTAAAAACCTAATCAGTGGACTGAAATGTTGGGAAAGTTCAGTATGCAATATAAGTATTCAGTTGCACAACTAACCGTCAAAAGGTAAAATTTAGGAAAGGCAAATGGTGAAATTTGGTGAAATCTCATGAAATCTGAAGTACTTGACCTGTAAACATGTGATTTGCATCTGAAATTTCATCTCCCAAATGCAGTAATTTTCTATAAACTAAGCAATTCACTAAATAGGTTTTCCATGGCAAGAAGATGCCGCTGCCCAGGGAAGTGGTGGAGTCACCATCCCTGGAGGTCTTTAAAAGACGTTTAGATGTAGAGCTTAGGGATATGGTTTAGTGGGACTGTTAGCGTTAGGTCAGAGGTTGGACTCGATGATCTTGAGGTCTCTTCCAACCTAGAAATTCTGTGATTCTGTGATTCTTTATGTAGTAAAGTAACGTGCTTCCTATCCAGTTCCATTTTTTTTCTAGATGTGGGCTTCAACAAAAAAGAAGGAACACAGCTGATAACCCATCTGACCCCCTGATATTTATTACCTGTGGCATCGTGTATGCACTTGACACATCCTAGTCTGTTACAGGTGTTGCATTTTAGCTAAATCCATGTCATAAGCATTAGAAGCAAATAAGCATATATGATAAAATCAATAACTAAAAAAAAAAAAACAGCAATAAAGACAAATTTGAAAAATTCATTTACAAAGACTGTTTTTGCCTTCCCCCAGTCAAAGACTGTATTTAAGAAGAGTTTAATCATGTTGTCATCACTTTTTACTGAATGTTAGTGTAACTACATACAGTAATTTTTTTAGCATATTAATGCCTTCGGTTAATCATTTTTTACTGAAATGGCTTGTTTTGTTTATATATGATGCCACACTGACTTCAAAGAAAAGGGTCTCCTCATCTGAGCAAAGAAGTTTAGTAATTTTCCATGCTGCCCACTTCCTTTGTCCATTGCAGATCTTGTAAATTGCCATGAAGCCTTCAGGAATTAAGTGTTTACATAATAAAACTAAAAATCTTCCTATTGAAAAGGCTGAAGTGCAGAGCTGAATTTAGCAAGGTGCTCACTTTATATGCATCAAGCACAGTAAGTGCTGATTTTAGTTGAGCCGAAGTATTACTTCAGCACTGAAGAAACTGCAGCACAAGGGAATATGAAGATAATGGTTGTCGATACTAGCTACCTTACGCATTTAGTTTCTTCTCACGGTTCCAGAAATACTTCATTTTAAGTTGTTTGCCTGAAGAAAAAGGTGGTTTTTTGACAATCTGTTCACAAAAACTTAACAGTTTTCCTCAATTGTTCTGAAATTACATGGAAGTGGTTTGAGAAAACACCATATCCAAATTGTGGAGGAGTATTTGTAAGTTTTCATTGCAGCCCTGTCCATATTTCCATTCATGCTTGAGTACACCAATTAAATAAAATAAAAACAACCTAGGTTTTCAGACCAGACGTCCACAATGAGGCTCAGAATACGTCACTGCAATGAACTTTCTTTTTGTACTGACTAGAAAAGAGATTACTAGAAAATCGCTAGAAGTGAAATGAACATAAAAATGATAAAACTACAGGATAACTACAGCAAACAGCATAAGGCTTCTCTGAACTAAAACTTCACCACTTCCTTTTTAGGATTATCTGTACATGACATAATGGGACTGGGCTTGAAAATCCCTGTTCTTAGGATTTAGCTTGCATTGTGCTTCTAGTATGAGACAAACGGTGACTTTTTTTGGTACTTATGCATCCAGTTGATGCCAAGCAGTGTAAACTTGTGGGATGTGAAAACAAAACAGTTGTATGGATTCATTATTTTGATTCAATTGTGTTCTTCTTTGCCTAATTTGCATGGCTGTGATTTATTCTCAGTTTTTAAATAATGCAATAAAGGCTTTGTTTCATTTGAAGGGGTAGAGGACCATTGAAGAACACATCTGATGTAATTAATGCAGCAAAAATGATTTCAGAGTCAGGATCAAGGATGGATGTCTTAGCACGGCTGATTGCCAATCAGGTAGGTTATTTATTTTACAGTGCATTAACCTTTGTCACAGATTAATACGTCCACAGAAGCTCCAATACCTGAGAAGGTCACTTACAGAAACAGTAATGACATTTTTAGATCTACCTGTCTAATTTTCCTTTTTATTCTCACTTTTCGGAATTGATGGATACATCACAGCAACAACAAAAACCTGTGACAGCACCTGAAAAACCAGAAGAGGACCTACGTAAATCCATAAGCACAGTCATCTTCCTGGCTAGGATGGCAGCATGCTACCTTAATACATTAATAACACCAAACAACTAATCACACACAATCCTCTTTCTTAAGTAAGGTAGGTAGTACTAGGGCCAGACTGTGCCAGAACCATGTGAAATTTTAGTCTGCAACTATTAAGCCCTTTAGTTACCTAGTCTTTTGTGACTGGCTTTTAGGTCTAGAGTAGCATGGTATAGTCAGTCTTTCACACCCACTCTTCCCCTCGCTTTTATTTTCATAGATAAAACTTACTTTTCTAACACCTATGAAGAAATATTTTTTTTCTTTTTCTGTTACATGACTCTGAAATCCAGATAACATGACAAAATAATTTCTATTATTGATCTATACATGGTTATATACAAACCAGTTGTGAGCTGGTTTGTGGAAAAAAATAGGTAAAATGTCCTCATTTCTAATCTTGACATGTGCTCTTCCATACAGCATATCTTTTTCAAGTGCACTGCCCCCTTTACAGATTCAGTTTTTAACATTTAAAAACTAAAATTAAAAATCTGTAATCTTTACTGAATGTATTACAGAAAATGATGTGGTATCAAAGCTAAAGATGAATGTATTACAATCTTACTCCTTTTACAATATGGTGAATTCTTATTGGAATATTTCTTACCTAAAATTACCTAAAACTTTCTTTGTATTTTCTTGTATTTTTACTGTGACTCCAGACTAGAAACATGAACAGGTTAGCATGAGGAAAAACCATTATAGCTCATAACCACTGTGTACCTTCCAAAGTGCCAGGAAATGTGAAGTTCAAGTTGTTTTAACCCTTTACTGAATTCACTCAAATAACCTGTATTTATTCTAGGTCAGAGCTTGCACACAGTTGATAACCCATCTGACCCCTGATAGCATCTTGTATGCACCTGACACCTACCAGTCCATTACAGGTGTTGCATTTTGGCTAAATTCATGTCATAAGCATTAGAAGAAAATAAGCATATACGGTAACGTCAATTAAAAAAACAACAGCAACAAAGACACGAATCAAAAAAGCCTTCGTAAGGATACGAGTGAACCAGGCCATCTCCATTCACTAAGTTCAATACCTCTGTGTTGCACACAACTACAATCACTACTGTATATGCATCAAACTTAGTAAAAAAAAGAGAATCTTGACCTTACGCCTCCTATTGCAAGATGTACAATATGATCCTCTCATTCCTCTGATGGCTAGAAATCTTTCAACTTCTATATACTCTTGTTCTTATGCCAAATCGTCCTTTATCTCACAGATTTTTTCTTAACCGTGTCATTGTGCTTTTTAAATCTCCATGGCATTTGTAAACACTAACAATTCTTCACTCAACTGTTATTTGACCTAGTTACTACTTTAGCTAGTAAAATAGTATATTATTTGACCTAGTTATTTTATGTCTGCCCTGCTCTCTTGGTGTCCTAAAAGAAAAGAAACTTCACATTCCCTGTGGGCTAACTAATAATTGTTCGCTGAATTTGGTTCAAACTGAAGGACCCTTTCAAGAATTTGCTGTCTAGACTAGAACATAAGTTTTGATGAAATTTAGTGATTGCCTTTCTCAATCACATTAAAATACAGTAAAATATTTTGCTAAAAACGGGTTAGTAACATTTAATTTGTGTGATTTTTTTGATGTCATGTAAAAATGGGTTTGTACTATCTGCTTCAAAAGAGAAGAGTAACAGCTGCTGGTTCTACCATTTTTCAAGTATATGTTCTAAGATATGTTCTAAGTGCATTCTTCACACGTGTACTTTTTCTGATACTTCTTTACCACCTGTAATTGAACTTAGGCTACCCTAAATCATTTCAATTATTTGTCAGCAATTTTGATACTCTCTATTACCTTACTGTTCACAGTCAGCCCAGGATTTAACTGCTACTCTGACTATGCCTTTGTGGTTATCAGGACCATAGTAACATATGATGAGTATTTTCAGTATTCAAAGTGACATACAAGGAGAAAAGCAAAACCTGCTTTATTTCTTCTACCTAGCTTCAGACCTAAGCAAGAATCTGAAATAAGCAACAACTGCATAATGAAGAATTGTATCTCTTTGACCTTTTCTTGCTCATAAAACGTTTTCAAACAAATGATTTTGGTTCACAGTCCATGTAATTTCAGAGACTCCGATTCAGGAACTGTGGAATTACATAGTTCATACGGTTTTCCTATTACAGAAAAAAATCAAACTCTATTTGCAATATTTTATATAAATCATCAGGTGCAAGAGCACCCCTCTGTTATATTGTTTTTCACTTAAGATTTTTATAAATTCCTGTGTTGAAAAGAAAGGGACACAGTGCAGTACAATTAGCAAATTCCAATCCATATTCGTATCACTTAAAGATGACTCAAGAGTTAACAACTGTGAACATAATCCCAGTTAGGCATCAACATCAACCTAGGCGCATCAATCAGAAGTATACTGAAGATAAAAATTAAACAATGTTTCAACTCCACTGTCAATTTTGTGACCTGAAAGCCTGAAGAATATAAGGCAGTACATCCTGTTTTTTATAAAATACACTGCAGATTTTTACTAAACGATGCCTCCATAACCATTTGTTTTGCAGCAGGAAGTGCTAGTCTGTTATGGAGCCCAGTAAGAAAGGCAGTCAGACTGTGAGGTATCACTTACAATGCTGTTAACACCACCGTTAGGAGATAACAGCAATCTTGTCCCTTCATATAGTGGGAACCCAAGGTGGTGTAGCACAGGATGGGCCTCTGATCCATGCGCAGCATTCTGGGCAAACACTGTCCATACAAGAGATTTCCTCCATTTTCATTTCAGCTATTCATGGGATTTTTTTAAAGAAAAGCAACTCCACTCATTATTTCCAATGTCAAACAAAAAGGATGGTCACATTTCGCTGCAGTCCTACAGGCAAGGGTATGCACATGCCCTTACCACCAATACGAGGAGGGAACTGCTGCAGGCTCCTCCACTGCAAACATCTGGCCAAGCGTATGCTGTGACCGAGGGATTTCTTCAGCACAACCCAGGCCTGAAGGCCTTGTGATACGTGCAGCACAGCACTTGCCTGCTTAGCTTCACTGATACATGGATCTCTAACTACTCAATGTATAGTGGTCTTCTAGTCAGGATCAATAAATACATCAATGCAAGAAAATGTTAATTAAATTCTGGAAGCGTAGAGATCGATACAAAACAGTGTTTTCTCTTACTACCGAGCAGGTGTTGCTTGTACCCGGTGTTTCTGAGCGCTGTGCAGAGGGTTCCTCATGGAACATCCTCTTCACAGAGTAAATTTCTTTCTAACATCTCTTTATAGTTGGTCGGGATATGCTATAATACTGTAATTCTTAATTGTACTTTATCCTGCATAAGGTGATACAAAACGTTATCTTTAACCCCACACATACCACATCCTTATATTATGTTGGTTCCTGGTTTGATTTTATCTAGTAAAGTTTGATGGGTAAAGTACATAAAAATGGGCATATGCTGGGTCAGACCATAGGTTGATTTAGGTCCATACCCTATTGCTGACAGTAGTGACTCGATACAGAACTCAGTGAGATGATGGTACATATTTCATGATACTTCCACAATATGGTCTTCCAACTTCCTGTAACCACTAATGAATTTACTTATCAAAACACATTTTTGGTACATTTGATAGCTTTGATATTCCTTGTATTTATTTTTGTTATTTTTTCCAGTGACTTTTTTAACCCATGTACGATTCTCATGATTATCATTCTGCAGCAGAGGTTTCTGCGATTAACACAGTATGAAGAACCATCTCTTCTTTTGACTGTAGGCGAGTTACTGTTATTGGCCTTCTGGTTTTGCATTAGAAGAGAGAATACTGATCATCATGAAAATCTTTTCTGTACTTTACCTGTTCTCTTCTGTGCCAAACAGGGGAACAATGCACCATACATGCCTGCACAGGGCAGTAAAACTGTGGTTATACCACAGATTTACGAAATGTAATTATGCAACTGAACACACCTTTTTTACCCTAGTATTTGCTCTTTTGGGTGCTACTGAGCACTCCAGATTCTCCAGATCTGATTCTCCAGACCAGAGGTCCAGAACAACGGACCAGAATTGTTTCAACCTGAAGGTATCATTCTTAAGTGGCAGTTTCCCTAGCTTTGATGCATGTCATCTTCAGCATTCCCAAAATGTTACACATTTCTGCTAAAAATGCATACAAGGCAGATAGCAAATGTGACTGTCATGCCAATATTATTATATAAATAATCCTGTCAATATTATTATATGAAGTTAAAACGCTGTCTCTGAACTTCTGTAATTGACACTGTCGTTACTTGAAATGGAAGAATGAGATACTGATCAGCATCTGCCTATCTCTTGAGTTTTTCCAGTGGGGAAAAGAGAAGAGTAAGCTGGGGAGAAGAAAAAGTAGAAAAGCAAGCATCTCATAGCAGGAAATACACTTTTAGTATAGCTTTGAAAGTTAAAAGAGGTTACAACTGCATTTGACTGGAAGGACAGATTTCTATGAATTAGTTTCAGAAGTAAAAAATGAGTATTCAGGTTTTCTGAACGGCCACAGAGATACCAGTATTTGAATACTGAGACCACACTGAAAAATGAGGCACATCAATAAAGAGAAGATGTCAAGACACTTTTCTGTTTTTCTTCTAAACTATGCCAAATTACAAAATATGTTTCAGTAATGTATCTAGCAGAACACAAGGTAAGGATAGACATTTAATGCATATTAATTACTTAAAAATTGTTCGGGTTAACTTGTTACTCCTTGCTGCCATTTCTAAGTCTGGAACATCAACTTTGCTTATCTGAGTGTTCCAGTACTAAGCGCAGAGTCCTGAAGAACAGAGGATTATCAGAACCCCCATTTTAAGCAGGTATCAGATTTCTTCAGCAAAGCCAGTAATTTAAGTAACATACTTCACGAAGTAGAATTAGATTTTTTTCTGGCTTTTAACATTTGTTAGACTTAAACCATTACTTCATCAGTCACCGTTTCATAAACACAAAGGTCTAACTTCATGAAACAGCAGATGAATGTTGCATCTGTACTGGGCTGGGAACATACATACTTTCTTTTCTTAGGAAATTCAAATGAAAACGGTCATGTTTCCAATACAAACTACAGCATACAAAGGCTAAAAATGCATCTTTGAGGAACCTGTAGGAAGCAATTTCTTGTTTCTCATGCTTACTTCACAGTTTTGGTGGCACACTAAGGGCTCACCATTCACCTGTTAGGTATCTTTATTTTGCCAGAGCAATGAACAGCTTTAGAACAAACACGCATGAGGTCTTAGGGTGACTAACTTCTTAGTCACAGAGCAGCATTTCCCCTCCAGGTATTTTTGGTGTTCACATAAGTGAAAATAGAAAGATGTTATTTTTTTATAAAGTGTTCAAATAAGTGAGTCAGCTATAAAACATTCTTATTTTCATGTTCCCTCTAATACAGAAGATCTGCCATCAAGCTAAATACACTAGATGGAACACTAAAATGTAGATCCTTATTGGAAGATAAAGTACTTTGTATAAATGTTAACACTGCTCTTGCATTTGTGTGTATATATTTGCCCACGTAAATATTACTGTTACTGCAGGTATCTTCTTAAAAATAAGTCAAAGTCTCCTAGGAATTGAAAGAAAAGTAATTATCTATGTATTAAGGAATTTGATCAGTGATGTTTCTGAGGTAAGTTCTGCGATGTTCAAGTGAATATGGAGAAGTTAGGGATTAACCTGAATGATTTGAGTAATTCCTCAACGAAGCAATAATTTGATGTCTGATTTTTTTTTGAATCTGCCACTGCATATATGATATATTGTTCGTTCCTTTATCTTCAGTGTCCAGACCAATCATGTAAACAGGACTTGTTGGCTTACCTGGAACAGATCAAGCTATACTCCCATCAGCTCAAAATCTGCAGTCAAGTTAAAGCAGAAATCCAGAATCTAGGTGGAGAGCTCATCATGTCTGCTGTAAGTAGAAAAATGGTATAAATTACTGTTCATCAAAATAAAATGTCATATTTGCATTATCCTTCCTTTGCTTATGTGTAGTGACTAGTATAGTCATGAATTTCTTCTTTTATTTGCTTTTTTTCTTTTTACACACCCTTTACACAGAGAATCTAAGAAAGTGAAGCATAAGCCTGGTGACTTAAAAGGCAGAGCAATCATTTGTGGATTTATTTTTTCCTTTTAGATTCGTAAAAGGTATTATTCTTCACTACTGTTCTGGAGTACTTTGTTTATAAGAACTGTAACATCTTTATGATAGTGGATTTTAGTTTAGTTTAGTTTCACATATATGGAGTATGCACAGGTGTATATCAGCATATACAAAAAGAAATCTCCAGAGCTGTACTTCGCATTCAGAACAAAATGCTGAGGGGAATTCTTGACTACCTGCTGTGACATGCAGGAGATGGTACATCCCTAAAGAACTAAAGAAAATTAAGAGCAAAGGTGACGTGATCATTGAATACATTTCTTGATTTGCCTTATTGTGAACTAAATATCATTAGACATGGAAAAGATGTTGCTTACAATTTTATGGAAGTTCTGTGCACTTGCTCTCAGCAAAAACATACTTTCAAGTTTTACACAGAAACAGTGAGGTTGCTATCCCTGGAGATATTTAAGAGATGTGCAGACCTGGCACTTAGGTACATGGTACAGTGGTGGACATGGTAGCATTAAGTTCATGGTTAGACTTATGATCCTAAGAGTGTTTTCCAACCTAAAAATTCTATGATCTATATAAGCTATCACTATTATAACTACATATTCTTTGATAATTAGTGGTATTATCTGTGGCATATAGGATTATGATATCCAGACATAAAGAAATTATAAAAAAGAGGTAATGAAAGAGCTTCCCACACCACTCTTACCTTTTAATACTTTCCTCTTAATGAAAAGTGCACACATCCGCAGTCCTGAAGTACATACATGTATCAGAAGAACAATTAGTATGTTCGTTAAAAAAAAAAAAAGAAAGAAAAGAACCCACCGTTGCCAATACGAGATTCTGAAATACCGACGTTTTATAGCAATATTTTGTTGGATGTTTTACAATCAGTGGAGATTACTGGTTGGTATCAGCATTTATATGACTAGGCTTAAAATTGTGTGTTTTTTCTCACTGGTCTAAATGTCTGTTACTGGGAAAGTGTTCATGATTGACTGCGCCCACCTGTCTTTTCTCAACTAAAATTGTAATTGTATGAAAACACAACCAAAGCAAACTGTGCTGATGGCTTTCCTAGAAGGCTATTTCTAATACATAACTAAATGAACATTTATACATACTATTTCAAAGAAGATGAAGTGACTGCTAGGACTAAGAATAATAAAAGAATTAAAAACATATGTTTTATAGAGAAAGTGATATGGTATTGCTGATCACTGAACTGCTTTTTCTTTGTCAAAGCTGGAGAAAATTCTGTCTCTGAAAGTCCACGTGGGGCCTTGCTTTAGAATGTGACTGTGTGAGTTAGTTTGGCTTGGAGAAGGTAGAAGGAGAAGGTTTTGCAGAAGGTAGAACAGAAGGTGACAATATGCATCTTCTCTATCAATCTCTCTCTCAAACACACATGAAGATTTGGGAGTACAGTTAGGAAAATGCTGTAGAAAATATGCAGACAGAACATCTCTTCCTTTACTGTCTGCCAAGTATCTGCCCAGGCAGCTGAATTTCATCCTTCTAGCCAATTTTTATGGCTTATGTAACACTGCTAAAGCTTGATGTTTTGTTCACATATAATCAAAGTTATTTTATAAAAGCAAAGTTAGCTTTTTTAAGGTCAGAACCGTAGCTGGATTAGGATTGCATTCTCCCATCTGATCTTCTCTCATCTATTTATGATAATAAAAAATAAGAACCAGAAAGAGAAACATAAGGCATGATAAAGAAAAAGGAGGGCAGGCCTTTGCAGGTAGTAGAGTTCTTATGAAGTACAGAATTCATGAATCTTGAAGTGTCTGATACTATCCTTTCTCTGGTGAAGATCTGTTACAGGAAAACACATCTTAGGAAGGGTATTGGACACGAAATATATGTAAAATTTGCTACTCTTTGGCTTTCACAGGTTGCCTGCAATTTCTCATTTCTGTACTCATGCACATACATGGGTAAGACTGAACTACTTTATTCATTGCCATCCCTCAGCTGTGTCTTAAGCATAACAAGAGTATTACGCATATGAAAAAGTTTATTTTAATCCATATACACCTCATAATTGTTCATTCTCTGTTGTATATTCTTTCTTCTACCTGCTTTTTATCTGTGTCCCTGTGACCTTGTCCTTGTCTTTCCTGTAACTCCTTTGAGAATCTCCCCTTGAACGTTTCCTATGTGAAATTAATACCTTCCTGTATCAATAGTGTAGGTTGAAGAGGCCAGTTGTCCTGGGACAACCATGAATGATTTGCAAATCCTACTGACCGACTGCCTAACCGCCTTCCTCAATTTTTGAGGCCTTTTTGACTTCAGGCCATATAAGCTTAGAGTTTCTTGCTACATTAAGTTATGCTGCCCTTCCCTGAGCCAAGTATCTTCATTCCAGACGGTAGCTCAGTAGGTGTTCTAAGCCCCACTTACCATGGTTGTAAAAGGGAACGCACGTAGAAGAATAGCGAGGGATATGCATTCATTCACTTCAGTTTTTCCATTCATTAAAAATTCCTTTATCAGTATTTAATCTTTCGTGCTCACAAAAAATATTTCTACATATGAAGTACTTCTACACATTAAGTACCTAGCATGCTGACACCATACTTGTTTCAACAATGGGTTAAAAAACATAATTGTATCTCATGGGGCATAAAATCAATATATGAAAGCATCTCTATCTGTAACTCCTGACAAACAATTCCTTTTTGTGCTATTTTAAAGACATTTTTATTGTGTTTCATTTTATATTGTTTTGCCAGGGAGATCCTGCAGGTCAAAAGGAAGTCTTCTAGCCTTATGAAGAAAAAAATCTAGAAGGAAGTTCTCAGAGTTACACTATCACAGAAATTCCTAGCTAGCATAGAAAAGATCTCTCTCATGTTAGCGAGCCTTACCTGTGCACTAAAGGCTATTCCACTGCTTTTCCTGAAAATGTCTCTTTTATCTTGGAATTTTCCTGTTGTCTCAAGTACCAGACTTACTTAAACACTTAGGTAAGTCTACTTTGGGTAAGTCTACTTTGGTGCTAAACACAGTTGCTGTCATGCTTCAGACTTCATACATAAAGGCTAGATTTAAAAGTCTGTTTCACTTCCTTAGTTACCATGCCAGTTAAATTTCCTGCAAGAGTTGCCTATAAACATGTTTTCAGCTTTGAAGGCTGACAGCAAAAACCCATGGAGCCAAGACCATAGCTAGCATGTAGTAAAGTACAAGATAGGATAGTGTAGCTGCTACCACAGCCTTTACAATCCTTGGATAACCATGCCCCAGGAAAATAATGTCTGAGGCAACATGCAAGGACTGTGGCAGTTGGCAGGCTGCTCAGTGCCTTTTTTTTTTAAACAGTTGGAGATTTTTAGTTACTGCTAGAAGAAGCCACCAGCAAGAGCTGGCATTTTGCCTGTTTAAGAGCTGCTTCTTTCGCAGGGGATGAGATGGGGAGCAGTGCACTGCAGTTGCTCTTAGGGTTTCTGTTTTGGTTTGTTTCTCCCTCCTAAAAAAAAAGAATTGGAGACGGCAGAATGTCTTCCCTGCAGGCCTAAAGAATGGGAACAAAGGGGTTAGTAACAAACTGGCAATCATTTTGAAATACTGACCACTGAAACAGCCAACTGGATTTCATATAGGTGGACCATTTGTTCCACTGATGAGAGCAATGCTGTCCCGCCAGTGCTGCTGTGTGACCTTCAATGAAAAAACGGCTCTTCTATGTTGCTTCATGTCCATAGCTACTGTTCTGACAGAACTGATGCCTGTGTGTGCTAGAGGCACAGCTGCTGCTCCTTGTTCAGCCAGTTTGTTTCTCCTCACTATTATTTCTCCATGTCATTAGGAACTGTCAGTTCAGTTTGTTTCAACTAATAATGGTGGAGGGCTGCTTAGAGGGCCTTAACCCATGCATACGATTACGTAGCATTTGAATCTGACAATAATAAAACACTGCATTTTCTAACAGTTGACTTCAGTCATTAAGAGATATAATATTTTAAAATTTTATTTTACTGAGAGCTGTAAAAAATGTTTGCCTATTTTTTTTTTAATGCAATAACACTGTTATCTTCCCCTGCATGTGCCTAGTGTATGGTTTTAAGTGTGAGCACATAAAAACCCACTAGCCTTTGGAAGCATTAAAAAAAAGGAATACAGTTCTTACTTAGGGTCAGCTCAGTTACTACGGCTTTCTAAAGTCCATCTACCTAGAAGAACTAGTTTAAAGAAGGAAGAAAGTACATAATAGCAACGTACAACACAAGTAGCCTTTCCTTAAAATAGCTACTTCACGGATAAGTAAAGTCAGGGCATAGACTCATACACTCAGTATGTTTTCAAAACAAGCACCTTAAACTAAACCATTGGTCTCCATTTCTTTGCAAACTAATCCAAGTGAAGAAGACAGCTAGGGAAGAATTTAAATTAAACCATACTATTCTCTTTTTCTCAAGGACCATTTTTTTCAATGATCAGACGTCTGTTTTTTTAAAGCCCTCCTTTAAGTGAAAGCGGCAGAACTTTGAAGGGACTTGGTTAGCTACCCATACAAGTGTTATGTTCCGTTATGGTGCATCAGGGAAATGGTCTTATGGTACTTAAGTAAGTTGTTCAACTCTGACACAGGACCTGGTCTAATTATAGGACTCGATTTCAGTTCTTCAAATCCTACATAGATTCAAGTAATAGTTTTTTCCTGAATATATTCTATTTCTCCACCTGAAAAATAGGTAAAAAGCAGTAACCCCCAAATATCCTTGAGGTCTGTTAATGTAATTACTAGGTACACAGACACATAGATAACCTACAGAATAGCCACATTTTTACCATAATTAAGCTTATTGAGAAATAAACACCCCTAGGTTGCCCACTCACACAATAAAGCAGATTTCCCTAGAGCAGTTCCACAAAGTCTGATACTCCAAGGGGAGAGTGTGGCAAGGCAGAGGTGAGCCAAAGATACGCTTACTGAGGAAGAAGGATCAGTTTTCAGTAACAGGAAAGAAAAATCACAACAGAAAGTCTCCCTTTGGCTTATTATGTAGCCATTTATTTTGTACGGGGACTAAATCTATGGTGAATGGCATCTGGCAGGTACATTAAGAAACATGGCAACTAATGAAGTGCTTCCAACTCTTGACCTTTACCTGTGCTTTCTAGAACCCCAACCTTCTTGTGTCAGTTTTAAAATAAAATCTTAATTTTTTGTTAAATGGAATTTATCACTGCTCTGTGTGGAAAAAAAAAGATGTTGAAATGTAAACATCCTCAGTTCAGAAAACAAGATAACTGCTGTTAAAATCCTGGCTCTGGAAAAGGAAAACTCCTATGTCTTCAATGGTCAGGATTCCATTCTTAACAGTTTACCTGTTTATTTTGTGTCAGATGTTTACATTTAGAGTTTTTATTCCACTCTTTAAGGAGATGAATACAAAGTGGTTAAAACACTATCTTATATAGCAGCATCATTGAAAGAACTACAAAGTAATTAACAGAAAAGCTTATAAATAAGGGAGAAAAAACTAGAAGTGTACCATAGTAAGTTTTCTTACCTTAGTCTCTCAACAGCTCGCTATTCCTTAAAATGTAGATTTCATGTTATATTTAGAAATCATCAAATCAAAATCAGTCCTTCTTTAATTAATGTAACAAAATTTGCTTCAAACACATTTAAGTCCAGTGGTTCAATTCAGATCTGTTTTTAATAGCTGACCTTGATTCCAAAAGACTTTTAAGTTCTGACTTCAAATACTGAATAGGTTGTGTATTTGA